AATTATAGAAAGGTAACTCTGTATCTATTTATAACATGTTACACACTATCATCGAGACACAATGAATTTACCCGCGTTTCATTTTTCTAAACCAGGGTTTATTTCAAATGCACAATGGAATTCAAGAGCTATTCATTGCTTGAAATATATGCTTTTGACTTTGACAAAAAAAGAATCAATAATAGAGGCGTGCAATTTTATTGTAGATCACTGGGCTAAGCCATAGTTCTCTTGCAGAAGAAACGTTGACGATATAACGAAATTAAAATTTGCATTAACTGGTAATTGCCTGGAGTGTTTGGAAAGATACTGTGATATTTGGAACTATTTTCCATTAGACATTGATTACACAAATGAAGTGTGCGAAAGGTCTCTTGGGAAAGTTAAATTATTTCTTCAAAGAAACGTCATCAACTTAGAGGCCAAATTTCTGAGACACTCTAATAAACTTTAATCTGCCTATGTGTGTTAATATAATAAAATTATTTATTGTTTGAACTATATTTACTTCCATGACGCACTTTATAAAGACTTATAACTAAAAATTTGGAACTCAACAAACATTATCTTTATCTCAAGTTACATAAACTTTTATGCGCAGTTTGCAAGCATGGAGGCTAGTCACAGTAGACAATTTGCAGGACTTGCGTATTTGTAGGCGTTTTTTAAATTTAGGGGTCCTTTCTCAAATATAAAATTTTTTTTATAGTAATACACCTAGTAATGGAAGGTTTTTAAGGTTTTAACGCCCTAATGACAAGTTGGAGAGGTAGGGCTCTGATCCTCTAGCCACAGCACTGTTTGTAAGGTATTTTTATCCCTATGTAAACTTATTACTTTGTTTTTTTAAATTAATATTTTAGTTTTTAAAATTCAAACATTTTAAAAACAAGACTTTTCAATTTGTAGCAACTTGCAGCCGTGGCGCAGTGGTTAGAGTTCTGGCTCAGAACTCAGAGGTCCGTGGTTCGATGCCAGCTCTAGCCCATCAAGCGACATTGGTACGGAAGGAGGCGTGAACTTCTTGTTAAATGCTCACCCGCGGTGCTCTATGATAAGACCGCAAGGACTTCTGGGAGCACCTAAATACATACAAAAATTATCTAAAAAATTCGAAAAAATAAGTTTGCGCAATATTTGTATATATTGAAGATATATATATATATATCTTCATTTTAAATGAAGATATATATATATCTTCAATATTGTAAAATGAAGATATATATATATATCTTCATTTTACAATGAAGATATATATATATATATATATATATATATATCTTCATTGTAAAATGAAGATATATATATATATATATATATATATATATATATCTTCATTGTAAAATGAAGATATATATATATATATCTTCATTTTACAATGAAGATATATATATATATATATATATATATATATATATATATATATATATATATATATATATATATATATATATTACAATGAAGATATATATATATATATATATATATATATATATATATATATATATATATATATATATATATATATATATATATTACAATGAAGATATATATATATATATATTTATATATATATATATATATATATATATATATATATATATATATATATATATATATATAATATATATAATATATATATATATTATATGTATATATATATATATATATATTACAATTTTATGATACAATGAAGTAAATATTAGAAATTATGCTATAATCAAAGAAATCGATATTGAAGAGCATGTAACGCAAAGCTGATTCTGGTATTAAGCGTATTTTTTTGATATTCGGTTAAGTTGATTCTAATCCTCTTTCACTTCTTTCAATTGCTCATCATTGAGTTGTATTGTTAGTGGTGGTTATGCCCGCTGTGAATTGTTCCATTCAATCAAATCCCACATATCTATTCTACGAAATTGAGAGTAATAACTTTGAATTACCGCCCACTTGTTTGATTAGCTTTCGTGCTTTTTTTTTCTCTAGCTCTCTGTATACGTCTAACACCTGATTCTAGAATTTGTAGTTGCTTATCTGATATTATTGCAAGAACAATATTTTTTTGATGACCCAAGAATGCATTTGTTTGAACAACTTGTTTACTACTTTACGTCGAGCATCTTTCAAATACCATGATTTGACTATTGCACTGCATAGATGTCTTCTTCCATAAAAGATACTCTACTACTTTTTATGATGAACCACATGGGTGCATAAAAACGCATAATGTATGTTGCTATATTTACCAAATTTAATGGTAAAAACATATAACTTGTGGAACCTATTGGCAATTGGTCAGCCATCTAGATTAAGGCAGTTTTTCAGAGCTTTTTTGCTTTTGATATATATTTCGTCATCTTCATAATATATTATTTGCAATTTCTTTTTTTAGATGTGACGGGACCAGACAGAAGACAAAAAGTCTTATCATCCAGCCCCGTTGTATCATTTACTTATTAAACAAAAAATAAGCTATCATATAAAAAAAATATTACAATCTCAATAAAATAATATTAAATACTTTTAATTAAAAGTGTCACTTTTTTTTTTTGAATTCAATACAACTTAAAATAAAAAATAAATAAAATTTAAAGATAAGGATAGGGTGATATTACTTTTTTAACAAAAAAGAAAAAATAAGAATATAAAAGAGAATAAAATAAAAATTAAAAATAAAATAGAATTTAAGAAACGTCATAGTCAAATCACTGGTTTTTTTTAAATAATTTTAAAATATGAATTGAAATTGTAGTTTTACTGCTATTTAGAAGAAATGAGTTTTCCCCAAATGTGGCCCTCAGTAAGTTATTGAGAATTCGTTATTGTAACATTTTATAGGCAATGTTACAATAACTAATATTGGTTGGCAGAACAAGAGCCATATAGTACAGATGTCAAAAAGCTGAGCTAGTTTACAGATTGAAAATTACCTTTAAAATCTCAAAAGTTACTTTCTAATACAAAAGATACTTTCTAAAGAAGTGGAAGCTCATTTGTATGTAGCAAACAAATTACCCATTGTAGACGCCGTTGAAATTTTAATTCAATCAATTAAACAACACCACCCTTGCTTCCAATGTTTACATTAGTTCACCGGCTAGCTCTTCCAAATCATCCAAAACGATATTGTGCTTTTTAGAATCAAATAGAATTTGAGATTTTAATGCTTCAGCTGTTTTTCTAAAATTAGAGTAGTGTCTCAAAAAACCTCATCAAGGTTCCTGAAGTTATAAATCTGTTTTGTGTGGTATTCGTCAATGTTCTGTTCTTGGTTCTCTTTTGTTTTGAATTTAGCGACTTTACGTTAACGACTCAACTAACTATGTTCACTTCTTATCAGTTTATCTATTTGCTAATGATAAAAATTTTATGCATATCAAAAAACTGTGCCATTCTCTATGTAAAAATATGAATTCGAATCTAAAAGGTATAATTCACTTAATGCTACACTCACTAAATGCTATCTAAAATGTCTTAGCACCAAAAAAACTGAACTAACTTTTTTTTTTCTATCTACGAGTGAAAACTAGTTATACTAAAATGTTTATACTAAAATCAAAATTAGAAATAAACGGTTTTATTCTTCAAGAGTTATTATATATCTTGGTATGTTGAAACTTTCAGGAAACTTTTACATTGATGAGCTACGCAAGAAATCATCTCGAGCTAACGGTATGCTTTCGCAATTATGTCGATAAAGTTGCACTTAAGAATATTTACAATGCATTATTCTTATTTCATCTTAGTTATTGTTGTCAAGTTCGAAGTCAATCAAATCATAAACTTTCTACCGTTCAAGCTGAGGTCTGAGGTCAAGTCTTAGCGTCCAATCAAATAACAAATCTAGTCATTTAAATCATATACACCGGAGTGCTTTAAAATGCTCAACATTCCAGTAAAGTTTATTAATTGTTTTTTGTTTTTGACTCTCTAAATAAAAATTTACCATCTTCCATTACAAACTTTTTCACTGAAAGTTGATATCTGTACTCTACTACAAATATAACAAAATGTACCATTTTATATGTATGGTAACCATTCTTTTGTCAATCAATGCATCTGTGAATGGAGCAGGTGGCTGATATGTATTTTGAATGAGTTAAAATAACTACGACTTATAATATCTTTTCTTTATCTTAAACAAAATCGGTTGAAATTTTTTTTGAACTAAATAGAGTATTCTCAAAGCACTTCTTGCTAACTTTGATGGTTCGTTAAATTTGAAGAAGCTTTATAAGTTGTATTTAACATACTGTACTCAAAACGAAATTTTACCAGCAAGAGATTTTTTTTATTGCAAATGTTTAAATACCAAATTTATGTGGGACGCTTCATTTATAAAAGAAAACTCAACAGTTTTAAAACATTTATAAAAGAAAACTCAACATTTAAAAACTTAACAGTTTTGTTTTGGAGACAAAAACTGTCTCCAGAAAAAAAATATTTTAAATTTACCTTTTTAAAGTGTTTTAAACCAGTAATTAGTAATTTAGTTTTTAAAAATCAGACAGAAACTCGCTTTCCTATTATGGCCACCCCATACTTAGTAAATTGAATTTATATCTTAATCGTTGTTGAAATTCAAACATATACGCTGTTAATTAAATTATTATCAACAAAGTTAATTATAAAATACATGCATTGTTAATTAACTGTCAATATTCGGTACTTTAGATATATTTAAAAAAATAAACACAAACTTATTTGCGACACCAGGTCATAAAAGAAATTGGTTTATGCAAAACTGGAAAATTCAATTTTTTAGTAACTTTTAGTAATTATTCACAAAAGTTGTTTAAAAATTGACCCCGTGACTACAAAAAGCTTGCTGCTATGCACAACTCGGTATCCACAGCTATCAAAAAAAAAACAAAAAAAAAAAACAATACCTTTATAAAAAGTGCAAGTATTCATGCAAATTTAGTGTATTAAATTAGTTATCTGATTTGTCTCAATATTGGCTAATTTGGCCCACTGTGTATTATAGAGAAAGAAAAAAATAATAAAAAAATTATGTATTTGAAATAAGTTATTACAAAGATTATTCAAATAATTATTACATGAATTATTAACAAATCTTTCTCAACGTTGATATATATTTTATTAATGATTCGTCTGCACCTGTTTCAGCTGCAACTTCATTAAAACTAAAATAAATACACAGTAAAATATATTACACTGAAAAAAACAACCCATAAATGTCTATATCCGCTCGGAAATAACAAAACATTTTTAAACATCGATCTTTCATCGAAAAAAAAAAAAGAGATTAACAAACTATGTATGAAGTATTAGATTTTGTGAAAGGGGTTTCGAGAAGTTGTACGCATAGAATAAAGTTATTGTGACTTAATGATAAAGTGCGCGCTCTTAGAGATGTTTCAAATTGAAAAAAAACCGTAATTACAAGGAGAGTGTTATCATCAGCAAAATTGTTCATTATGATTTAATAAATAAAAATAAATGATTAAATGAACGTTTAAGATAATAGCCATATATTATATTCTTGTAATTATGAGAAACCAATATAAAGAAATAGGATATAATAAAAGTTGTAGTTTATCATAATATAAGGCGACGAAGATAAAAGAAAAAATTTATAAGAATAAATAAACGCAGGAGTTTTGTAAACATGTTTAATCGAAATAGTTTTCATACAAATTATAGCGAAATAGTTTTCATTCAAGAAAAATGTCAGTTTGCTTAGATCCAAGTTGATCTTATCTTTTCAAACATTTTCCATCGTTTTCTTTCAATGCTTTCCTTTTTTTATTTCAAACATTTTCATATTTCTTTTTTTTTTTGAACTCAAACTTTTTTTTTATATCAAACTTTTTTAAAATTTGCTTTTTCATTATACAAACATTTTTAGAAAATAAAACTGTTTATGGTAAAGTTCAGCTTCTCATATATATTTCTCAATAAGTATTATTGAATAATTATTTATTATTATTTAATCTATTATTGCACAATAACAGATTAAATAATAATAAATCAAAAATAAGTTAGAACAAATAAATAACATTGATAACAATATTAAATAATAAAAAAGATACCTTGATGGGTCAGCAATCATTAGCTTTTGAATAGTAAGAAGTTTTTCATTAACATTTACTTCCAAAGCACCAAGAATTTTTAAATAATAATCTTAAAGCAAACACAACTATTAGTAAATAAATTGTTTCAAAGACAAAATGAAAAATTAAAGTAGTAAAAAAATTAAAGAAACATTTGTAATAATGGCGTGAAGAATTTTAATATATCCAATCTCATTCCACACTGTTGATTTCGGCATGATAAAACTTAAAAAAAAATGCTACCATGGGCTGACAAAGAAAAAAACCAAGCAAACTTAAAAATGATAACAATATTAAGTTTTGATTTTTCATTCATTCTCTTATTCTATTTATTCCTTTTTACTATTAATGCTTTATTTATTAAAAATTGTGTGTACCTATATCAGCAAGTAACTGTCGTGTTCCATAAGCTGTTAGATAAGGAATTTTTATAATAGCTTCAACATAGTTTGCACTTGCGCTTCGCGCCAAGCTCTCTAACCAGCAGTGATCAAGATGAGCACCTGTTAAAATAAATTAAAAAATTCAACATATTTAAAAAAACTTTAGGTAATCTTTTTATTTTTTTTTTATACCTTCAGTTTCTTGAAAAGGCAATCTTCCAACTTTTAATGAAACTATAAGAGAGACATTTTGCTCATTGAAATAACCTTCAAGCTGTTGGGGGAGAGTTAAAAGAGAATCTCCGATCTAAACCATTTATTAATACATTATATACGTTTCAAAACTTATTATCTCAAGAAAATAATTACAAAAAACTTACCTGAGTAATATAACTTTGAGGAGATAAACTAAACTTTGGCAAGTCACCACCTGCTGCTTCTTTTTCTTCTGTTCTCCAAACCTAAATTCAACATTGATCATGCATTTTTATCATACAAAAACAAAAATAAAAAGATAACAGCAATGAAATAAACAAGTAACCTCCATAGATGAAACACCATCTAACAAACATTTAAATTGATAAAAGATAAGATCAAATGCCAGTGAATGTGCTCGTTTGTTTAAACGCAAAACATGAGAACACGATGCTGACAAAATTGCATCTTTTCCTCCTATGAATATTTTAACAACACATCAAATATTTGTTGCAACAAATTTAGCATTAACAACAATTTAAAACTTTTATTTCAATAATTTGGTTGTTAAAAACTTTTGTTTCAATAACTTGGTTGTTAAAAATATTTGCTAGTTTAACCATTTGTTTAATTCATAGTTGAAAAATACAATATTAGTTACTTTTACATACCATTTCGTGTTATTTTCGCCAAAAAACTTATTTGTCTGCATTTTATCTTTTCTGTCAATCTATATTTTTTCTTGTCTATATGTATTTTATTTTTCCTGCTCTTCTGTATCTTAAACTGCCTGTCTTTCTGTATTTTATACTGTCTGTCGTTCTGTATTTTATCTTTCCTTCTCTTCTGTATCTTTATTCTGTATTTTATACTGTCTGTCGTTCTGTATTTTATCTTTCCTTCTCTTCTGTATCTTATACTGCTTGTCTTTCTGTATTTTATATTGTCTTCTTTAAATTAAGTTTTTTGTGTGTATATTTTTTAACGTTTAGATTTAATATTAAATCATTATTTCATCAAATACTATTAACCATTATAATTATGATAATATATAAAAAATAATTTAAATAACAATAACCATTAATATTATTTTTAAATAAAAATTTTTTACTTGAAATCCTTCTTATATCATTAAAAACATTTTTAAGTAATAATAAACAAAGGACTTGAAAAACTGTAAAATATATGAGTTAAAGCATAAAAATTGGGAAAATTTTGTCTTACCCTCATTTATCTAATTATTATTATAACTTAATTATTTATTACTGACATTTCTTTGTGCTAATTTCACTGTTCATTTAACCCACTTTAACTTATGTAAATCTTGGTTACTTGGATATAATGTATCATTTTATGTTATGTTATTTATAAGAATCTTGATTACAGTGTTTAGGTAATCATTTCCTCATTTCGAAAATGTAATAAGTATAATATTCTGCTAAAAAAATTATTTTTGTTACATTTATAACTAATCAACAATAAAATAACCAACCAAAGAAATACCCAACAAACTAACCAACTAAACAACCAGCAGCAACAAAAAATAAATTATTTAAATTAAATTTATTGAACAAAAAAAAAATGGCAAAAATTTATTAACTAAACATTATTTTACTTAATTTACATTTTAATCTCCTACTTTAAACAAACTGAAAAATCAATTTGGATAATTTTTAAAAGTTAACATCTTAGATAAGTTTTTATATGATTTAATTAAGTTAAAACATCTGTTATAGTATGTAAACTTTGCAATCTGTTATAGTATGTAAACTTATCCTTATATAATTCTTTATAATAAAATACAATATCTCTTGGAGTTATATATACCCTCGTTATTCAAGTAATATAAAAAACTGTTAAAAAAACAAATAAACAAATAATAAAACTTCAATGTAATGTGTTCTTGCGTATTAAATAAGAAAAATAAGGTTTCCAAAACGACAACGTGATGTAATCACCATTGTCTTCATTCAAACCACCTTCATTTGGAGAGCGCTAGTGATACTGAATTTCCAAAGACTCTCTCACTTTTCTCTTAAAATAGTCTATCTCTACTTTAACAGTGTTGTTTTTATCCCAGCTAAAGGCAAGATGGCAATTTCTAGAATGCCCGGCTACAGCCAAATTTTTCCATTTTCCCTCAAAAGCATGTTTTTGATGTTGACAAATGCGATTTGAAACCTTGAGTTTTGTTTCACCTACATAGAGTTTTCCACACGAACACTCCAGTTTGTAGACTCCTGGATAAGAGTTTTTGGGAAGTCGAGGCTTGTTTTTTTGAGTTAATAATTGTTGAAGGCTTTTTGATGATTTAAAAACTAAAGTATAGCCAGCATTTTTAAATATCTTTTTTAATTGATTACTTAATTTTGGTACCCATAGCAGAGAAATATAGTTAAGTTCTAGTTTTTTGATGTTATTGTTGTTGTTTTGTTGATTATTTTGCTTATTGTTTTTTTTTTTTTTTTTGGACAATGTTTTGAAGTATTTTTTTTTTATAACCATTTTCTATAAACATTTCTGTAATAAACTTTAATTCATGATTTATGTTTTCTTTACTGCATAATGCAAAAGCTCTTTGAATAAAACCTTTAAATACACCATAAATTATTTTTGGATCGTGACAAGAATGCGGCTTTATTTGCAGATTTGTTATTGCATCTTTGCGATAGATATTAAAAAGATATGTTCGGGATTTGTTATTTGTTATTGAGAGATCAAGAAAATTTATTGTGTGTGAGTCACTTTCTTTTTCAACTGTATATTAGACACTTGTGTTTTTTGTGGTTTGAATGAAGACGATGGTGATTACATCACGTCGTCGTTTTGGAAACCTTATTTTTCTTATTTAATACGCAAGAACACATTACATTGAAGTTTTATTATTTGTTTATTTGTTTTTTTAACAGTTTTTTATATTACTTGAATAACGAGGGTATATATAACTCCAAGAGATATTGTATTTTATTATAAAGAATAATATAAGGATATGTTTACATACTATAACAGATGTTTTAACTTAATCAATTTGGATAATATAATTTACTTTAAACAAACTGAAAAATCAATTTGGATAATATAATTTACTTTAAACAAACTGGAAAATCAATTTGGATAATTCTTACGTGAGAGAATTTGATCTTTTAATTCCATTATAAAATCCCATTCAGCTGGTCGTGCTTTAATTAAATAATTGTCATCAGAAACACTCCCTTGGGTTATTTCTAACACATGTTTTGTAATCTCTTCACATAAGCCACATCTATATGCCTCAAATTTTGTCATCAATGTTCCTGCAAGTAAAACTCTCATGTTACATAATAAACAATTATCTAAATACTGAAATAGAATTATAAAAAAAATACTAACCACAAACTTCTATAACTTTAAATGAATACTGAAAATTGGACCAAACACATTCTGCAGGAAGACCGAATGCAAGTTGATTAAACTTTGAAAGAGTGTTGTCGATAAGTTCAAAGTAAGCAGATAAAAAAATCTATTAAAAAACAAATGATAATTTAAATATAGTTTTTCTAATAATCAATTTATTTTATAACATTTAGATAACATCCAAAATATTGAATAATAGCCAAAAATGAAATGTTCCAGGGTTTTGGGATTAGACAGAGTCTAAGTAAAAGAGTCCTAGAGTCCTTGTTTTTTTTTTTTCTTCTGACATCACATAGAATCTGGAGTCTCTGACAGCTTTCTTTCCCTAATTAAATCTAAGCAAAATGCTTATTTAATTGTTCAAGACTCCTTGAGGATTGCTATCCATATTTTTCGTCAAAGTCAAATTGAAAACACATTTACTCAATGAACATTTTATTTTAAAAACTTAAAACTTCCATGCTAAAGTGGCAACCCTTAATAATGTTTAAATTTTATAAGAATCAATATCACAAACTTATACTAAAATAATGCATGAAAATAAATATTATTATTTTCATGCATTATTATTATTAAATTTATTACACATGTTTAATTAACTAATGAAGTAAATTAAGTTTAAGCAAAAAACAAAAAAAACAATTCACCTCCCCAAGGACGAGGAGGTACTCAACATTCAGGAGGTACTCAAGCTTTGCTCTCTTTCATTTCTTCTTAGACAAAGTTTTATCTTGACATTTTTTAGGTTCCCATTACTTGTTAATTTTTAGATATTAAAGCAATATTCAAAACTGCATAAAAGATTTTTTAAACATGTACAAGGTTTACCTGTAGTGCTTCATGCAATCCACATACTCCATAACCATGTGTGAACTGCCAACATGCTTGACTTGCCTAAAAAAACAAAAAGCAACATGCGCTTGTTATTTTGTACTTTTTTTTACTTGTTATAAATAATCTGTTAACAACCTCTTGAAACTTTACAATCAAAACTAGAAATCAGATGAAATTAGAAACAAGCGATAGTAGATAAGAAGTAGCAGATACAAGATAAGAGATAATAAATAATGGATAAAGATAAATAAAATAAAAAATAAAAGGTTAAAAATTTTAAAGTAGACAAAAAAAAAAGAGATCTAAGTAAAAAAATTTATATGTATAAAAAAAATTTAAACCTTACTTCTTGAGCATACTTAAAAACTAGATTAGTGGAGTCAGCAATCACTTCAGGAATATCTGATAAATCTTTTACAGTCTAGAGAGAAAAAATCAAAAATGTCAACTTTTTAATAAGACAATTTGAATGTTTAGCTTTACACCTTTTATTCAGGTTTTAAAGAATGAATAAATTTAACTTATTAAATTGTAAATAACATTGCAAAATCTAATTTTACTTTTAGAACTTTACTGTTGTAATTCTTAATATGGTCTGGTATGAAAATTATATATATATATATATATATATATATATATATATATATATATATATATATATATATATATATATATATATATATATATATATATATATATATATATATATATATATATATATATATACAGGCCTTGTTTTAAAGCGTTACGCCTAGAGCGATTTACGTACGCCTTAAGCGCTTTTTACGTACGCGTAGAGCTGTTTTGGTTAAGCTACTTTTTATCATTTTTTAACTTTTAAATTAGCGGTAACATAAAAGAAGTGATTAATTTTCAAAAAAACCACATTAACTTTTAAATAACGATATGTAAAGGTATTTATTAAAAAAAAGAATTTACTTTAAAATTAATTGTTGTAACTTTTCATCGCGATATATCTTTCCTTTTTATAGCAATTAATTTGACGCTAAACTTTTTATCCAAACATGAAAAATTGTTTGTCAATCCTTAACTACAAATTTTTTGCAATGTTTTTAATAAAAAGTAGTAAAGTTTTTAGTAAAAAACTTTTAAAAAATCTATATTCCATATTTATTAATACAGAATATAAAAGTTTTTTGTAATATAGATTTTTTATAAATTTTTTACTGAATTTATAATATAAAACATTTGCAAAAAAATTTGTAATTAAGAATTGGCATTTTTTTAAATAAAATCTCAAAAAATGTCTTAATATTTTTGTTATAATGATAACAAAAATATCAAGACATTTTTTCGAGATGTTAAAAAAAATGTCTTTGCTTTTCTTATTAGTTTAATAGTATATAGCTTATAGTTAGTTTAATAGTATATAGCTTTTCTTATTAGTTTATTAGTATATAGTTTAAGTTATGCGGGGGGAGGGGGTCGGCACAGAAAAAAAAATTACCTGTTACTCGCAATATTTGAATGAAGACAATTTGTTAAAATTCTTCTGCGTGCGATTCAATAAGTTTTTTTTGTCATAAATCAAGTTATAATATAAGGTAAAGAAATCATGAGTAGACTACAACATCCGCTGATGACACTAATATTATGTTGAATATATTTATATAACGGAGGTTTTATTATGCACGCGCACATTACAGGTTCCGTTAAATAAATACTAAGGCACGTTTTAGTTTAATGACAGTCTCCATTTTTTTACTAATGAATATGTATTTTTCTTTATAAAACAAAAGAAACTAGTATATAAAAACCTTGTATATTTCTATTATCTCTAAATTATTTAAAGTTCGAATATGTATTGTATTTTGAAGGACAAAAGATTTACTTTAAAAACTTTTAAATCTTGGGACTTTGCCGATGCGATGATCACAGAAAAAGAGAAGACTTACGTTATTAAAATCAAATGTAAGTTATGTGATCTTCATCAAAATAAAATATTATCCAAAAACAATAGTGCCGTAAGAGCAACTGCCCAACGGTTTATAAATAATACAAGTCATGTTAAAATATTTTAACATGTTACTATATTTTAATTAAGTTGATATATAATTAAAAATAAAAATATAGTTCAATAAATAAATTAAATTTATTCTTAACAAAGATTAGCTCATATTTATTCTTTTTTTTATTTTATTAAGTTAAATTGCTTACAAACGAAAAAAAAAAAAAGAGTTTTGTAATTATACGTAGAATGAAAATACTTTTGAGTTTGTTTATAAGTTAAGGAACTTAATTTTTAATAAACAAATTTTTACGAACGTTTATTATAAACAGATACGATTCAAATTATTAAATATACTTAAATTATTTCAGTTGAGTATTTTTATAAGTTTGCACGATTAAAGTTTGGCGTTCAAGTATTTGTTTTTTTGTTTTGAGAATAATTAATAAAAGAGTTTGCATAATTAAGACTTTTATATTTAATTTAATATTTTTTTTAATTTCCTAAAATTAAAAAAAAAAAAAAAGATTTAATCGTTGAAAACGATTTTTCTCTATAGCTCTGTTTCTTTGTGATTTGTTTAAAAAGTTAAATATTTTTACAATAACATAAAAAGTTTATGAATTAAATTCCTAGCGAACGCGTTCTAAACTACGTATTAAAAATACGCTTCAAAGCAGACAAAACTTTTTTATATTTTTATAAAACGCAAGTTGAAACGCTTTTAAAAATTTAAAAAATATTTAAAAACTTAAATTTTTCTTTGCTAGTCAAAACAAAATCGTTGTTTAAATAATTAACATGGGTTTGTGTTTATCAATGTTAATATTTTTTGTTTACTCTAGAAATTTTTAAAAATAAAAAAAATCATTATTATTTTTTATTCAATAACGATTAAAAACAATTATTCAAAAACAAATTTCAGAAATAATTAATATATATATATATATTTTTTACTAAATAATATTGAACTAAAATTAATAATAAAATAACAATTGAAAACATTGCAAAATTTTCATAATAAATTTATATTTAAAACGTTTATAGTTTATATTTGAGTTAATTGTTAAATTGAATTAGTTTGCGGTTATTTATTTATTGCGGTAGTTTAAAACACTTAACGTCTATAAAAAAAAATAAAGATAATTTTATGACGTCAAAATTGCGTTAAGCTAATGCATTAAGCACTTTTTTATTTAAAACAAGGCCTATATATATATATATATATATATATATATATATATATATATATATATATATATATATATATATATATATATATATATATATATATATATATATATATATATATATATATATATATATATATATATATATATATATATATATATATATATATATATATACACATACATACATCTATTAACTACTAATAGTTAATCAAAATGAGTAACAAGAACTAAATGTTTTTAAGATGGTTTAAAAATATTTGGTTTGACAATATTAGAAAACAAGTAGAAAAAAGAATACGATGGAATAAGACAAAATGAGAATGTTGGTGAAATACTAATGGAATATTAGAAAATGGATGGTTAGAAACATTTATAAAATAAACTGAAGGATATCCGCCAATATATAATGAATACTCGCAAGGATGTAGTCGCAACCAAAGATTACATAAATAAACAACTCATAATTCAGAAACAAGATTGGGTTTGTTCACAAATAAGATTGTTAATAAATGCAAACTTCAACAGTGAAATTGAAAAAGTGAAAGCTTATTTAATGAAGTTTTTAATGTGAATGATGAACATTTTCAAAAAAAAACTCAACCTATATTATCATATAAATATTATACAAATATAAGATAAAAAAAAAGCAGTTCTAAATAACAGCCTATATTTTCATAATTTAGAGTTTCTATTTTTAGTTTCTTGTTGTTACAGTTGCATTTACCATTGTGTGACTCACATTTGCCCAGCTCTTTGACTATTAAATACTGGTAGATAAAATATATATATATATTATTTATATATATATATATATATATATATATATATATATATATATATATATATATATATATATATATATATATATATATATATATATATAGAGAGAGAGAGAGAGACTTTTGGAAAATCATTAAAAGTATCAATAACTAAAGTCTTTACTTCATGGGTCTGATTTTATTACATATCCCCAGAAAAAGGCAGAGTTATTTAAAAAGAAAGAACCTTTCCTCTAATTTGACTCTTGAATCTAATGGCCATACTCTACCTGCCATTCCAGTTAAACAGATTAACCCATTGCTAGACATCCATATTGATACTACCATTTATTTTTGTCTTGATAAGAAGCCAACACTCTCTGATTGCTTGGAGGGGCATTTGAGCTTCAAAAGGATCTCAATTCTGCTACAACATGGCCTCTCAGTGGCTGGTGAACTTTAACTTAGATAAAACTCAATTTTTTTAAAGCTAATCATTATCGCAACAATCTAGATCTTCCTATATTTATAAACGGTAATAAACTTGATGAGTCATCTACCCTTTATCTTCTACAATTAACTCTTACTTCCGATATTTCTTGAAAACTATATATCAAGTGCATTGCAAAATTAGCATCTCCTAAGGTTGCTTCTCTTTATCATGCTTCTCTTTATCATGCTATCATTTCTTACTTAGGATTCTATTCCTTACCTCTATAAATGTCAAATTTGTCCTTTTATGGAATACTGTTGCCATATCTGAGGCAAATCTTTCAATGATGCCCTTTCTCTTTTAGACAAGATGCAAAAACGCATCATAAACACAGTTGGACATGCTCTTGCAGCCAACCTCCAATAACTATTTCTGTAAACTTTATGCTAAATGCTCACACATTTGTCAATTTATTGAACCCTGTTTCAGAATTTTTTGCCAACCTGATGCTAACCTTAGCATCAGGTCAGCATTATTTGCCCAGCTAATTTTTTTTAATTCTGTGGGCTGCATATAAATATATATATTATATATATATATATTATAAATATTATATATATATATATATATATATAAATAAATAAATAAATATATATATATATATATATACATATATATATATATATATATATATATATATATATATATATATATATATATATATATATATATATATATATATATATATATATATATATATATATATATATATATATATATATATATATATATATATATATATATATATATATATATATATATATATATATATATATAGTGAGAGAGAGAGAGAAAGAGAGAATGAGAGAAAGACAGAGTATCTAAATATATTTTTTAAAGTTGTTCAGCAATGTTAAATATAATATAAATTCATAACTTATAAATACAAAAAAACTGTACTTCAAATAATAAGTTTAAAAAAAAACAAAAATGGAATGAAAAAAAAAAACTACCATTTTAAGTTGTTCAATGTTTTTTATAAGATAATCTTGTTGTAGACTAGAATATCGAAGCAAAAAATTTGAGAAAGGTGCATTAACAAGGTCAATCACAGATAATATGCTAACATCATCACTTGAATCTAAGCATAAAATAAATAAAAGTTAATATGTGAAAAGCTTGTAGATATCATTTATTAAATATTATACATATTACATCCTAATTGTATCAACTTAAGAAAAGATTTCATAACTTGAATGACTATGTTAGAGTTTACTAGAAAACACAACTTACCCTTAACTCTAAAGTTATACATTAACTTGAAGTGTATTTTAAATATTGGAAAAATCGAAAATAAGTAAACAAACTAACTTACTTTGAGCAGATAAAACTGCCATTCGCAGACTTTTTTCAAACCTGGCTGTAACAGTTTTAATTTCAAGAAGAAGCTGTAGTGGGTTGACAGCTTCATTAACATTTTCTTGAATGCATATATCTAGGGAAGGTTGCAAATTACTTAAAGACTGAGCTAACAGTGAACTTAATATTTGTAGAGGTTGTGGAAAAACTTTAGAACACCAACTGACCTAATAACAATAAAAAAAGTAGAAGAAATATCAACTTAAAAATGATTTTAAAAATACTTTGAGTATGAATTTCTTTATATGAATAATAAGGCCTTATGAATATATAATAAACCTGTTATAAATTTTTTTGAAAAGTTACTGCAATGACCTCTTGATGCCATAAAGACAGCAAATGTTCATAGAACTTTGCCAACCATGATGCCAATGGCTTCTTTTCATCTCTTAATGATATCCATGCATTCAAAATTGAGGTCTAAAATGATTATTTAACAAAATATATAGGTTATAACATATACAAGTGATGCAAGTACCCTTAACATGCTAATATTTAAGTTATGAAATATCCCTATTGTGATAATATCCTAGCAAACATTTTTATCATAATAATATACCTATTATGAAAAGATTAGACCATCCAATTTGAGTATTGAAATACTTAATATTGGAATATATTTGCATATTTATTGGAATATTTTTGCATATATTTGCATGTTTTATGACTACTTGAAATATTCTAATTCAAATTATTCAATAATTTTTTTTTTAAAAAAAAGATACATTAGGCTTGCAGCAAAATATAATGTAAATTTTAGAATTAAAAAGTATTTGAAGGTTGCCAATCAACACTGATCAGCTGTATTGAAAAATATTAACAAGTAGATAATCAAATTTTTTTTCCAGACGATTAAATTTAATTTTTGTAATTTTCACATAAATTTAGTAATTGTAACACTTTATGCAGTACACTTTTTAAGTTTCGGCAATATTTTATAGGGTGATATTATTATAAAGCCTGATTATCCAAGAAAAACAGCTGATTTAAAAAAAAATTAAAAAATAATCTTTTGATAAAATACAATATAAATTTTCATATTTTGCTTTTAACTCTTCATACATTTTATCACTTCTCTTTTTTTGTTGCTGTTTTAGTATATTACTATTATTAATACCAAGAAAAAAAAAATCTAAACATTTTTACATAGCCTTTATATGAAAAAACAAAAATACATTTTTGTATAGTTTTATAGCTAAAACACAGTTGTTTATGTAAGTTCATTATAAATTTTTTTAAATTGAATAATTTTCTATACTAGGTGCCTAATAAAAAAATGGTGTTTGTAATTAAAAACATTTTAAATTTAAATTAGACTTAAACCAAAAGCTTTGCTGCAAAGTTCACTGTATCTCTTTATTTTAAAACAAGTTATTGAACAAATTATTTAACTTTTAATAGCTGGGATGGTCGAGTCGAGCTGGGATGGTGCCCAAGGAGGTCGTCGAGTCCCTCGGAGTCCACAGAAAGACTTTTCTCAGGAAAAAAAAAAAAGGTTTATTGGTTGTGGAAATGTTGAATGAAAAAAAAAAAAGGAAGTGGAAGACCATGTTCAAAACTACCTCTTAAGGTTGTAAAGGCTGTCAAGTTCTAGTGGACCAGGAACCTGGTACAATCAATCTAGCAAATAGTAAAAAACCTCGACATGTCAAAGCAAGCAATGAAAAACCTCATAAAATGTGATATTAGATCTAGATCTTTTAGCCATTACTGACTGAAAGTAATAAGGCCAACAGATTTAAAAAAAGTGTTATTAATAAAGGCAACTTTCCAGAACATTTCAAATTATCCAGAACATTTCAGACATACTTAAACATATAAAACAAAACATTCTAGTCAAGTCATGATTTTTGCAGTCATTACCTCTGTTGGCCAAAAAATGTCTCTTGAATTTGTTAAAGATGAAAAACTGAACACTAATGCTTATATAAACATTTTGGAGAGTCATGTCAAGCCTTAGATAGAAGTAACCTATAATAAAAAAAACAAAATTTGTTCACCCAAGTTGGAGCACCATGCCAGACTGCTAAAAAGACACAGGCATGGCTTAAAAAAGGCACCCTAAATTTCTGGCCAAAAAAGTAGCACCCTCCTAACTCTTCCGATATTAATTATTAGGACAAATCAGTCAAATCAGGCTTCAGTCAGATGCTTGTGCAAAAAACATTCGGGCACTCAAGACCTTCTTTGTCAAGACCTAGGATTGTATTTCAAGCAATTACATCCAGATGATGTGCCATGGATTCAGAGGTTGAATTTAAAAAATTATTGAGAAAGAAGGCAGCCTTTTTGAATAAAAAGTCTTTTGAATAAAATGTCAACCATGTCTAAAATATTAGACATGGTAGGAAACAATTTTTATTCCATTTTTTTTTATAATAAAAAATTAGTCTTTTCTGTTAAATTTGCACCACTTTTTATTATGCAACCAATACAGTTGTGAAGTAGGGTGCTCTATTTCAAAATGGCAAAGAGAGTTTCAAAAATAATTCCTGCTCAGGGCACCCTAAAATTGCATATACAGGTGAGAATATTGAACATGTGCATGTCATTATTGAAGAAATCCCTCATGCAGCACATAATATAAATGAAGCCCTGACATTGATTAAATGTTTTATAACTATTCACAGCGCACTTAAAAAGATCAGTATTATAATTACAGTTGAGATTTGGGTGAAATAAAATAAATATGTTATGACATTGAATACTAATTTAATGAGACGAGATACACCAAGTTCTAACAACAATTTTAAATATTTATATTACTATTAACTACTAGAAAATTCATGGACGCCTGTGGCACTTACTTTTAACAACCACTTACACTTGTAAATGATAATAATTTTGAGAAGTGAAGTGAAGCTGGTGTAGGCAAATAAATCTTATATATACTTAATTTATACCTGATGAGTGTTTATAAGTGAAAAAGAATTAAAATCAAAAATTTAAATGACTTAAAACAAATGTTAAAAAAAAAAATTCAAAGTTTCTAATTTCTTTATAAACTATATTACTCTAAAGTCCCTATTAAAAGAGAGGGGGGACACTTATTAATTTTTGGAAAATTTTTCCACCCACCCCAAGCTTATTAAGATACCCCTCCCACCCTTCTCCCCATTTAATAATTTTTAAAGGTCGTCAGCAAAAACTCTATATTTCAAAACTTAAAAAAAAATAAGTGAAAATCGGCCTTAAAAATAAGAAAATAATTCTTCCAGTCATTGATAAAAGCAAAAACTTTCAGTGTAAATAAGCTTTAAAAATTGCCAACCTGGTAAATCTCAATTCAGCATATTAAACCATAATGAAATTATGCTAAAACAGCTGTTCGAAAATGCGCATTTGACCGCAAGCCACGCTAGAGTTAAATAATTTTAAGCCTATTTTTTAAAAAGTATTAGTTTGGATTTATAAATTAAACTTTTTTATAAAAAATACTTATATTGTATCATAAAAAAATTGCCACTCCCCCTTTATTAAAACCCCCCGTTTATTAAATCTAGACTAAAATCCCCCCCCCATCCCTTGTATTAAGAACTCAAGAGTAAGAGTGTTAATGATAACATTTTACTTCAAGAGCAAGACATGTTACGCGCATTTTTGTTACTCTATTTACTCTATTTATTGCTGTGAATTACTCTATTTATTGCTGTGTCTTTTATTATATTAATACTTTTATTATATTAATACTTTTATTATATTAATGATAACATTTTACTTCAAGAGCAAGACATGTTACTTATTAACTGAATTACTCTATTTATTACTGTGTCTTTTATTATATTAATACTTTTATTATATTAATACTTTTATTATATTAATTAATTATCTTATCAATTAGTTAAAAAAAAATATATACTAAAAAAAACAAACAAAAATATACTCTAAAAGGAATTGAACCCGGAGTGCAGGTAAATTATTAAATTTACCCGCATTAAATTTATTAAACACTACTCCACACAATATTGTGTCTTAATAAGTTAATAAAGTTTAAATAAAATTAATTCTATTTGATGCATGATGTTTTTAAAGTAATTAACACGCTTTAAAAATAAAATAAGTTCCACATTATTAATACATAAGCGTTAAATTAGCGTAACATTATCAGGGAATCAGTGACCTGGGTAAACATACATTAGATAACCATTGGAAAAATTAATAAATATATTGAATCTAAGAAAGTATTTTGTTATTAGATTTTAATTAGATTTTTTTAAAAAACTGTCCACAACCCTGCACATTTTGTATCACCCTTTAACAACATTTTGCCCAACCTAAATAGCTTTTGAAAGCATACAGGAGGTTTAATTAAACAAAACAAAACAAAAACAAAGTTTTAAAGATTCAATCCACTTTTATGCTTAAAATATATAATTTAGAAAAATAAAATTAAAAAGAATAATAGAACCATTTATTATTAAGTAAACTCTTTTTCTTTTTGAATTGTAATTACTGTTTATTTTTGTTAATTTAAAAAACCTATTAAAAGCCTACTGCTCTGCTTAAATTATGTGGTAGTGGTTTAGTGGTAGAGCGCTTGCCTCAAGCGAGAAGTCTCGAGTTCGATCCACACCTGGTAGTACCGCACTCAACTTGTTTCTCTGCGCAGCGGCTTTGTTTGTTGAGGTTCATTTTTTGGAGTTTAGAGTTAAGAGAGGGTTGTAACCACAACTAAAAGTAGCCTCCTCAACTGTAGTGGCCTTCATGGGCCTTAGGAAAGTAAAGTAAAAAAAAAAAAATTAAAAACATATAATTCTTTTGAATTATGCTTACACAGTTGAAGCTCAAAAAAATCAGCCTTTTCAAAATTATTCCTCTTTTCGTACTTTAGAAACAATTCTTTTTTTTTGCATTTCAAAATAATTCCATCTTGCTAGGTTTCAAAACTATTTCGACTATGATATTTTCAAATTTATTCCATGGTTTTGAACTTATTCTTGTTTACAATTTTTCGAAATTATACTCAAACAGTTGAAAAGCTTGAGTAGTTGAGTAGAAAAGATCTTTATGATGCTAAAATCCAGAAATGTTAGTCCTTGGCCTCAGTCTTGCCTTAAGGCCAAAAACTAAGGTCTTTTCTTGGTCTCGACCTAGTCCTTGAACATTTTGGCTTTAGTCTTCCACCTTTTCTTAATAATATCAGAACTTTCTTTCGTATTTGCATCCTAAAATTTTTACTGGAATTAATTTTATTTACAAGATTTATTTTTGTTAACTTCAAAGCTTTAGAACTAAATTTTGTGTTTTATGTCATGGTTTAAATTGCTGTTTTTTGACTAGCCATTTTAAAGCAATAATCAATGACATGATTTGTCACATGATATGTTTTAATGTTTTTTATTAGTTAAAACATTTCAAAATTAAAAAAAATGATGAAAAAATTAAACACATGATTTTTTGTTAAAATTAAAAACAGAATTTTAAAGGTTTTTTGAATTAAAATAGTTTTTACTAAATTTAAATTATAATTTATCATGCAGTATTTTTCTTATTTATAATGTTTTTATTTAACTTATCTAAATCTATTTAAAAAAGTTGTTAGTAATCTATATTTAATAGACGTTTTTTTAATAATTTAATTTATAAAATCCGACATTAAACCAATAGTTTGATTATCCTTCTTTGAACGAATAAATCACTAGAATTTAATCAAAAAGATATTTTATTAAAAAAACTGCACACAAAAAAATATTCAAAAATAAGAAATCTATATTTGACAAGTAATTCTGAGCCTTCATTGAGCTTGTAGGTCTGATTTGTTGCTTGAAACTTTGATGTTTCTTAAATACAACAAAGACTTATAGGCTATATAGTGATTGTTAATGCTTTTGACATTAAAGTAAAGCCAAAAAGTCTTTGGCCTTGAAAATGTTTGCGTAGGCTTCAGCCTTGAAACTCTTGTTCTTGGCCTTGATCTTGAAACTCTCGGCCTTGATCTTGAAAATTTTGGCCTTGGCCTTAAAACTATTGGCCTTGGTCTTGGACTTGCTATTTTTGGCCTTGTTAACAACTCGGCTGAAATCCCATTCATAAAAAAACCTTAATTAATATACCAAACTTATTAACTAACACAAATGTATTTAAAAATAAAAAATTAAAATCAAAATTTGCTAACCTTATGACAATTGTTATAATATGTCTGCAAATGAGAAAGTCGATTAAGTTGTTCAAAAATTCCAACATAATATTTTGCATCTTCTATAAATTTAAATTATTTGTAATTTTATATATATATATATATATATATATATATATATATATATATATATATATATATATATATATATATTATATAAATAAATACTAATATTTTTGATGAATAATGCAGGTTAATGCCATATTTGACATCATAAAATTCTCTTTATTTTTTTATTTTTCAAAGACATTAACTTTTTTAATTTACTGCAATAATATTAATTACTGCAAAATGAGTTAAATGTTATTTAACAGCTTTTTTATCATCACTTTAAAGGTATGTTTATTTTATTTTATCTTATTTTTAATATTAAATAATTAAATTGAATATTGCATTTTTTTAAATGTTTGATATTAACAAATTTCTTTCTTTTCTCAACATTTGCATAAATGATTTAAAATATGTTAAATTTTTGAACTTTTTAAAACAACTATTTCTTTAACTTCTAATTGCTACTTTGCAACTACAAATGATTTTTTATTTAAAAATTAGCGAGTAACAAATAAAAAAATTGTGTTAATTTATTTACTTTATTTATTAAAAGTTTATTAGATTATTATTTTATTATTAAAACTACATCACTATATATATTGTTTATTAAAAAATAATCACTGCAATTTAACTTGCGTTATAAAAAAAAAGTTTAACTTACATTTTGTGCAAATTAATGGTGCAACTATTAAAAATTTAATTATGAGTAAAAAAAAAAAATGTTTGGAAGGAAAACCAAAATTTTTTTTTTAAGCTAATTTTTTTTAAGAACAAATAAAATTTAAATATTAAACAGTATTTAGTAATATTTTTAAAAAGATTTGACAGTTAAGTTAAACCCAAGCATTAACTTTAATTTTAATAAACTTAAATATATTTTTTAAATCAAAGCTAAATTATATATTTTTTAAATCAAATTAAATTACATATATTTTTTTATCAGAATAAAATTATATATTTTTATTAAATTAGTTTTGAATTAAGTCATATATTATTATATCAGAAATAAATTATGTTTTTATGACCTTTGCTTCAACCTTAAAGTAAAAGCATTTTTCAAGTGAAAAAATCAATCATTACAATAAAATAAAACAAAATAAATGAGTTTTTTTAAATAGTAAATAGTGCTTATATCAAACATAATGTCATTCAAATTTTTGTAACAAATATTTATACGTAAATGTTATTCAAAAGTTAATGTGACTTTTTTTAAATATAATTAATTCTTTTATCTTATCACTAACATTTAAAAAATTATAAAAGGTTGCTTAACTGAAATCGCTTACTGCTTATGTAAAATGGCTTAAGGCGTACGCAAATCTCTCATGTGTAATGCTTTAAAACAAGACCTGATAATGACATATAACCCATTTGACAGTACTATTAATAAATATAAAAATGAATAAAAAAAAAGGAATAAGTAATGAATATAAAATAAAAATTTATATCTATCTACATATATACATAGCATAGATATATATACATTTATCTGATATAGTTTAAGTATTAATGACTCAAAATATATATAAATAGGGAAATATAAAAATAAGTCACTTTTACTTAATATTTTTATGTTATATTTTTAAGATTCTTAATTTATAATCTTTGGATTTTTCATTTTAAAAATTCATTTGCAAGCACAATTTGTATGTATGTTGTGACTTTAGTTATTATTTGTACTTTTTATTTATCATTTATACTTTTTAATATTTGAACATCATTGCATTGTTTAACCAAATTAGTAAGAAACTCATAAATTACATGATTTTTATAAGAACTAATATTGCTCTAAAAATTCAATATAAAATTCTAAAAGTTGGAGTAACAAAATATCATAACTTTTGATTGATTTAATAAATGATATACAAACGTTAATTTTTTAATGATTGTTTATCATTAAACACTTCATTTTTAAGATAAAAAATTTAATAAAGTTAATTTTGTTACTGGAAACCCAGTTTTTTATCCTTTGCACGTAGAACTTGAGAAACTAGCAAAGCAAATGTTATGAATTGCAGCGCATGTAGAGCAAGACTGTTATGCTAGCCTGCTATTTTTTATAGCTAAAATTCCATTAAAAAAAGTTAAATGGTGTAGAGAACTGAGTATGGGAATAGAAAGTAGAGTAGATTTCCAACCTTGCCAGCCGAGCAGTGTATTAAGAAGAAGTAATTGATATTGCAAAGCGAGGTAACAAGCTTATAGGAGACATCAAAGACAAATGCTTTGATCTAATAGTGAGAGAAAAACTAGGTCAAGTTGTGGAAAAGCATCAAAAAAGCTTTAAAGGAGTATATTACTCAAGGAAATCAATAGAAACAAATTTTGAACAAATAAAAAAATAATATTTCAGTAACCTTAAGGGGTAAACAGAATCTGTTGACCAGCCTCGCAACCCTTCTTCATCTATTAGGCTGGCATAGATGTATTTTTAATACATTGTTTCCAGTTTAGGTTGTTGAATGCTGGATCTTCTTGACTCGATGCATGATTTTTTGCTTGTGTCTCTGTTTTTATGACTAGGCAACTCATTCTATTATCTCCAAATGAGGGTACAGCTCTAAAATTTAGTTTTATGGTTCTGAGGCCGGCTGGTAGTCAGGTTTTCTGAACTCTGTGGTAGCTCTCAGAGAGGCTGATTCCATCAACAGCTGAAAAATATCAGAGTACTAACAGTGCCATGTTATGCATGGATGGTGTCCCTGTTTGTACTTTTGGTGTCCATTGCCAAGGCCACATTGAAGCCCTTTGTTACAGCTTAGGGTTTATTAGTGGAAATGAGGCAATTGCTTGAGCTATAAAACAGTGTACTGAGTACTATCTATGTTTCGAGTCAAGTTCTTTAACAAATTTAAAAATGAATAAAGTAACAAAAACTATAAAACACAAAAAAACCAGTCATCACCAAGTTCGCTAAACCTATCATTCACCAATATTCGTGGTCTTCGAAGTCACTTTTCTTCTGTTCAGTCTTATCTCTTGCAAAGTTCACCAGACTTACTTGCTCTTTGTGAGACTAATTTGAGTTCTTCTGTCTCATCTTGTGATCTTAGTGTTGATGGTTATCTTCCTTTAATTCGTAAAGACTCCAATAGTCACATGCTTGGCCTGGGCATTTACATTCGAAGAATTCTCCCATTTGTCAGGAAACTAGGTTTGAATCCACAGACTACTCTTTTATGTGCTTTCGTTTAGCACCACTTCACTCTATCACCTTTCTCTTTGTTCTATATCGCTTTCCTTCATCTCAAGACTGCACTCTTCTTGATGTTATTTCTGATTATATTGACCAAGCCCTCATTCTTTATCCATCAGCCAATATTGTTGTTGTCGGTGACTTTAATGTTCATCACACTGAATGGCTTGGCTCTAGTGTCAGTGACTCTGCAAGCATTAAGGCCCACAACTTTTGCCTTTCTCAATCCCTAACTCAAATAGTCAACTTTCCAACTCATTTTCCAGACAACCTGAATCACTTACCTTCTCTACTCGACTTATGTCTTGTTTCTGATCCTAGTCAGTGCTCAGTTTCTCCACAATCACCCTTAGGTGCTTCTGATCACGGTTTGGTCTCTCTAAAACTATTATCTCATTCTTCTTTACCATCAGAATCCCCCTATCATCGTACATCTTAAAACTACCTTAAAGCTGACTGGGACTCTTTCCGTTATTTTCTTCGTGATAGCCCCTGGGTAGAAATCTTTCTTCTTCCTGTTGACAAATGTGCTTCTTACATAACTTCATGGATTCAGGCTGGCATGGAATCCTTTATTTTCTCTCAACGATTCCAGGTCAAGCCTCACTCTTCTCCATGGTTTTCCTCACATTGTGCTGCTGCAATTGCCAATCAAAACCATTACTTCCATATCTATCAGCAAAACAATTCTCCAGAAAACAGATGTCTGTTTATTACTGCTAGGAACCATTGTAAAAAGGTTTTGTCTAACGCCAAAGCCCGCTATTCTCAGGTCATGAAATCTCGTATTTCATCACAAAAATTAGGCTCTCGTGACTTCTGGTGAATCTTTAATAGTATCAGTAATAAGGGCAAGTCTGTAATTCCACCTCTTTTGTATGGTTCAGAATTTGGACCTGTTCTTGCTCTTGCAGCCAACCTTCAACCTCTGTCACATTGTCGTAATGTTGCTTCTCTTTCTCTTTTCTACAAATACTTTAATGGGCACTGCTCTAAAGAGCTAGCGTCTCTTGTGCCATCTACTAAAACTCATTCTCGTGTTACTCGTTAGTGCTCCAAAAATTCTTACTCGTCTAGTTTTTTTCCTCGAACATCAGTTCTTTGGAATTCGCTTCCTTCACCTTGCTTTCCTGATTCATATAATTTGCAATCTTTCAAGTCGTCTGTCAATCGTTATTTTGCTCTACAATCTTCATCTTTCTGTTGGAAGCAAAGATGTTTAAAAACAAAAAAACTTTATTATTTATTAATATTTTAATAAATCTTTTGTTGGATAAGCACAATTAGTCATAAACTAATAAAACTTTGTACAACTATTTTTCAATGAATAAAAATTAAATTTTGTAAATCAAATTGAACTTTGTAAATCAAATTAAATTACTTTTTTTTTTAATCAGAATAAATTATGTTATCTTTGCAAACTCAACATATCCCAGCAGGCATTTATTTTTAACAAATTTTTTTTTAATGACCCCACTAAGTAACAATAACAATTAGTAGATAAAAATATTGCACAACAATTTGTGCAATCTGTTATGCTAACTACAAATGTTTTGTGGGGGATCTAAAAATTGTCTTAAATTCGAAATTTTTTCTATTTAGCGTTTTTAGATCAAATTTCATCAATGGTGAAAAACCCAAATAAAATTTTGCTTGAGTATTTTTTTTGGACAAAGTTTTGAAGCTTAAAGTTAAAAAAGCAAAAAATAGAAAACTAAAGCTTCGATATATACGAGCTAAAATATTTAATTAAATCCACTAGTTGCATCCACTTTGTTACACTATGTCAGGCCTTGTTAAGAATCGTTACGCAGCTCGCATTTTACCTGCGAAAAGGCGATTTGCCTACGCGTTCAGCAGTTTTGCGTTACGCAAAAACTTTAATCTTTTAGAATATTTAAATTATCATTTGATATCGTTTATGTGACGTTTATTCAGAGGAAAATAAAGTCGTAAGTAAAAGCATTTAACCGCAATTGTAAACTAATAGATTTTTTGTTATAGAAAAGTTTTTTTAATTATTTTTGTTGTTGTTGTTAAAAATTAGTTTAAAAAAAATGTGTTTTAAGTTTAAACTTTTTATCATATTTAATATTAAGTTTAAAAACATTCAAATTAAAAAAAAATTTCAATTTATTTTATTAAATTTAAATATTTTTTTATTAATCATAGTTTTTAGTAAAAAAATTTAATAAATTTAATTAAAATTCTTTTATTTGATTTTAAAACAGAGCATTTAAAAATTTTTTAATTTTAAAATGCTCCGTTTTACAATTTTTTTTTTATGATAAAATTTCCAAAGTAAAAAAAGATTTAATAAATTTAATTCAAGTAACTTTAAAATGTTTGTATTACATATAACTTTATTTCAATTTCAGTTAAGTTTCAGGTAAGTTCCAGTTCCAAATACTGGTCTGAATAATGCACTGAACAAAAGCGCATTATTTTCCAGTTTTTATTTTTCCATTATTAAAATATTATTGTAAACTAATAGATTTTTTGTTATAGAAAAGTTTTTTTAATTATTTTTATTGTTGTTTATTTTTTGTTGTTGTTGTTAAAAAAAACACAGTTTTTTTACAGTTTCATTCATTATTTACAGAAGTGCATTATTCATTTTATAACTACAAGTTAATAAATGACGTCAATACTTTTAAACTCGAGTTATAAATGTTTTGGGTTTTCCCTTAGCCGTTTGCCAAAAATTTTTTTTTTATAAAACTAACCAAAATTCAAACCTATTAAAAATAACGCGATCAGTAAATAAACTCTTTAAAAGCCCAACTTATATTTATTTTATTTTAAAAACAAAACTAGTACTAGAGCTATAATAATAAGTTAAATAAATTTCAAAATTATAATGATATTTGTTAAAAACAAATTCTGCTTATAACATCTTAAAACGGAAAACACTATTTTTTTTTGGATTAAGTAAAAAAATAGTAAAAATACATTAGGTTTCACCGTACATAAAAATAAAATATTTTAATGGAAATAAAAAAAAAAAAAAAACAAAGCCGAAAAGCAGTAAATTTTGATAGTAATTTAGATCATTACTTTCTACCATTTTCTGTAACTTATTAAAAATAAATTAAAAAAAGTGGGAGAGGGAATCAGACTTATCACAACTTGTATTATGTGTCCGAAGAGCTATTAAAACCAGTAGTTTTATTCAACAAATGTTTATTTTTGTTAGTTGTTTGTTTTCTAATTTACTTAATCTGTTTACATTTTCAGGAAAAATGACAGCTAAAGTATTTTTTTCAATGCAGCGTAATTTATTGCTAATTTTATTTTTTTAAAGCAATTAAAAAAAGTGAAGCCCTATTTATTTAGTTTGATTCACTTTATTGTTTTTTTTTTGTCAATCTTACAAGTAGAAGGATTAATGAAAATAAATATTTTAGAAAATTAAATTGATTTGGATTTAAGTAAGTTAACTATCCAGTTATATTTTAATTGGAAATCTATACATCTTGAGCATAAAAAAATTAAATAAATGTTGAAATAAAACAAAAAATTGTTGAAATGAAAGTGTGTATATATATATGTGTAGTTTTGGTAATATTTAGTGTAATAGAATGTATAGTTACAAATATTTTATCCTATGTGCTAATGTTTTGCGTGTTATTGTTGTGATGTTTTACGTTAATTAGTTTGATCAGTTTCATTACAAAAAATTGCTGCCTCAAATTATTTACTAAAAGTTAAGATAGAAAGAAACAAAAAAACTCATGCGCTAAGAAAGTATACATTCAAATATGAGCTCATGATACTCGATCTTACAACCTTAGAAAAATGACGTATATATGAAAACACCTAATCCAATGGTTTAAAATTAAAAAAAAAAGAAAAAATTACACTTTTGTGCAGACTCTTAGCGAAACCAAGAGATCATCAAAGCAAACTAAGAAGAGAAATAACTACAAACTTTAATCAAAAATTTTTTTTACTAAATGAGGCACGACACTTTGAAACAAGCTTTCTGACTAGATTGTTAAATTCTTAGTTGGCCAACCAGTTTAAGAACAACCTGGATTTTTACCAGAAGGTAGCACTTTATAAACTATTAAAGTGTTTGATGCTCATCGACATTTAACAAAAGTAAATTTGAATCACATAGTGTAGTTTATACTTTTAATATCTAGAAAAAATATAAATCTTAATAATTATAAGTTTCATATGATTTTCGTACTTATGGTAAATATATATTTTTGGAAAACATTAAAATATGTGTTAAACAAAGTTGATTTAAACAATCTGGATTCGTAGCAAAAGGTAGTATAGTACCAAGTTAACTATTAACATATTAAAGTTATGTGTTGAGATGTTTGATAAACTAAATCATGTATCAACAAAATGTTTAATTTAAAGGAAATAAAAAAATTTATAAACTATTTCAAATGATACTGTTGTATTTTGATTTTTAATTTGTTAACTCTAATATTTTTCATACCACATATATACACACACATATAAATACAAAATATATAAAAACCTTTATACATACCTAAGTTGTGATTATTGAAAATATGTACAAGTTTGGGACTGAGCATGGCTTCAAGTTTATTTTTATGAGACTCCAACACTTCAACATAATTAGCAAAATCAGGAGAATCTTTCAAGTGTTGCTTAAAAATTTAAATAATTGTTTATCCAATCAGTATACAGAATGTATAAAAACAATTTTTTTTTGCTATTTTTTTTAAAACAAACAAAAAATTTAAATGGTTCTGTACATATGCATATGTACAAAACAACAGGCGCTTGTGGTCTCAAATTCCAACACATTTGTAATACATACAGAGTAACTAATTTTTAAATATACTAACTTGCATTTTAAGTGTATATATATATATATATATATATATATATATATATATATATATATATATATATATATATATATATATATATATAACTCTTGATTGTAGCAGAGTTCTCAATATTTTAGAAATATATATATTTTCAAAAACAGAGTTTATACTATAAATTTAGAAAAAACAACTTTTTTTGGAATTTAAAGTTTCATACCTATTGGCAATCATCAGCCATGAAGTACAAAATCAAAATATAAAAAAAAAAAAAACTGTTTAAAAATTACAAACTACAGTAGAATGAATTGTGACGTTATAATACAAGAAGACATGGAAAACTAGCAGAGATTAGTTATGTCCATTATGTCTTCTTGTATTACATCAGAATTCATTCTACTTTAGTTTGTAATTTTTAAACAGATTTTTTATATTTTGATAGCTATTTGAACATAAAACTTTAAGTTCCATAAACAGTTATTTTTTCTAAACTTTAAATGTATATATATTTATTTATATATATATATATATATATATATATATATATATATATATATATATATATATATATATATATATATATATATGCATATATATATATATATGCATATATATATATATATGCATATATATACCGTAGAACTGCCTTGGTTCGGTCACTTAAGCTTTGAACATTTATCATGCATAAATAAAAAAAATTTAATTTTTTTTCATGAAACATACAGAAAATTATATGGTAATTGATATTGTAAAAATAAAAACTTGTACTCAATATTTAATTATGAAAACATTTGACCAAACTTTCAATACCATCTCATAAGTTCGGCTGCTATATAAATACTATAGAACTATTACAAACTTAACGCCACAAATAATGAAAACTAATTTTTAAACACTGTTTTATCATTAAATTATGATATAAATTCAGGTAATATCAGTTAGTAAGGAGGGCATTGCCCCGGACTTAAAAAAAAACTATCTTGGGGCACTAAAGAAAATAAGAAGTCTTTTTAAATATAAATAGTAGTATTTTTAATTTTTTTGTAATTAGTCAACTATTTTATTACTTTGGCCATTATCACACTTGCTACGTCACTGGTTAATAAAATTTACTGGAAAATTTACAGGTAAAGTCACCAATAAATTTTACATTTCAACACTTATCAACATTTCACAATATTATTACTAATTGTCTCCTTCGTTGTTTATCTGTGAATGACTGAAGTGAGAGCATTTCAAAATTTCAATTTTTATAAAAAAAAGTTGTTAATTTTCAAAAAATAATAATTTTTAATTTTTTTTGAAAATGTAATACTAAGATCATTTGATAACTTTGATCATTTATTTTATTAATTTGCTTATTTTAGATTTTAATAGTATGCATTTTTTTTTCAAATTATTGTTTTGCTAATGAATTATTTCAGCAGGTTGCATATAATCATTATTTTTTTATAGATTCATATTTACAAATTAATTGAAAATATTATTTGAGAAAAAAAAGTTTGCAAAATTTTATTTTTGCTTTTGCTAGCTTTTTTTTATATTTTTTTACGTTAACCAAACTTAGGCAATTTCTGGTATATACTTTAAATGACAACATCTTGTATGAGAGTTGAATTAATTTAATATATGAACATCAAAGAATACAAATTCTCTCAATACTAATTTTTTTATTTAATCTAAGAAATTTTCGCTAGATTTTTGATACTAGCATCTTCAGCTTTAATTACAAATTATTAATTAAATTTAATTACAAACAAATGGTGACTTCACTTTCTAATGGCTTTTTTAAATTTCGCTTTAATTAGGCTTCTTTAATGTTATGTAAGTATAAAATATATGGCATTCAGAATTGCGTTTTTACACACTCACCATCATCTAAATTCATACCTCCGTTCTTAGGTCCCCATTTGTTAAACTGAATTTCGATTGCCTCTCAAACTTTTCTTTCAAATTTTTTGGGTTCTATTTTTAATGTTTTTAGTTAATTCTTTTTATATTGCATGGTCATTTAACTTTATGATGCCCAATTGCAGATTGCTCCAATTTAACTTCGAAAACATTTTTCTGGTGTTGTTTTGTTGTTGCTATTTTCATTTTTGTTTTGCCGATGTATTTTTGTACACACTCGCATTCTATTAAGTATACTCCCAGATAGTTATTTAATGGCAGTTTTGTTTTGTTGCGTGAAGTTAGCAAAGATTTAAGATTTGCACTAGATTTAAAGAATGCCCTTTAATTTAAAGTAACCGGCTTTCCTAAAGATTTTTCAAACTATTTGATTTTTTGTGAATTTTTCATTATTTGAGTGTTGTTTTTTTATAACAATATTTGCAAGGTTTTGTAATTATTTCTTTTCATATCTATTTTCAGCAAACACATTTATTAGGAAATCCATTTCTTTATTTAAAAATTTTTCAGAGCAATCGATAAAGAAAAATGAATAAATCCTTTAAATATTCCTTCTAAGATTTTTGGATTGTGGTTTGAATTGAGCTTAAACTGAAAATTTGTTATTTCTTTTTTTTTTGATGTATGTTAAAATCATAATTAACTTTTTGATTATTGGTTTTGGATGTTTAAAAAACTTAATCATTTGTTTTCATCTTCTAATCAAGTTTGGAGAAACCCTGTGATAGACGTATGCAGGGATTCTCCAAACAAAAGTTGCTTAAAAGCTCTTAAAAAATAAAAATGGCTGCAAATAAAAACTTTTCAGCTTCTGCAAAACTGAAAATTTTTTAACAATTTGTTTGCTAGAAAAAAAAGTGCAACTTGGCCAATTTATTTTTTGCCTGACCTACTCATGATATTTATTTTATAATTGGTTTTGATTTAAACAATAACTCTGCCTGCATATTTTCAACCATGGCATGTAGCTATTGCCTAACTAACAACATTAAAGGTGTTTCTGATTAAGCATTTAACTTTCAAAATAAAACCAAAAAAAAAAAAAAAAAACATACCAGACTTTTTTGCATGCTGATCAACCTTTGTGCAACCTGTAATTATGTTAACCTTTTTAAAAATAATACAATTCAAATAAACTTTTGCAACACAGTTAACAATATAAAAACATTTTTTCCATAACATCTAACAATTTGTATACCTGCTCAACATCTCCTACAAGAGCAGCTTCTGTAACTTTTAAGGATGATTTAGACCAATTATCAGCTTCCTAAATATTTAATGTTAAAATATACAAAAATCAATTGTATTAAAACACTCAAACAGTTCATGAAAATTCAAAAAACAAAATATTTGACTTTAAATAAAGATAGTAACTAAAGTTTCAAGATTAAAAAAATATTTTATTATTTTTCTTTTAGTATTGGGTGGGCATGGAAAAATCTGGTCAACTTTAAATTGAGATTTCTCTAAAACCATTAATGCTTTTTATTTCCATTTTTTAATTATATGCGTTTGCATCAAATACAGTTTTAACTTAATTTTAAAGGGCTTGATGGGCTTTTTGGCAAGAGATCAAATTTTATAGCGGGTTGATGCCATCATTTTGCAGATTTTTCTTTTTTCACCTTATTGGTGGCATTAATCTACTTTCTTTGGAACTCTTTTTTTACTTTTTGTTACTCCACCTGCCTTAAGAATAACTCCTTTAATTATTGCTGAAAAATTTCTCTCACACTCTTCAGGACAATTTGGAGGATTCACATCTTTAGGAACAGTTTTCACATTATTATCTTTGAACCACTGTAAAACTTTTTTAGAATAGTGAGAAGCAGCAAGATCTGGCTAAAAGAGAAATCGGTATTTTTATATTAATGGAAAAAGTCTTTTTTAGAGGCATCCTTTAATGTAGAGATGGGTAGTCAAGGTCTTCTTAGTGACAAAACCAGAGGACTGCATACCACATCTACAAATCTCTTGCCACACAAGGAACTTTGACGCAAATTTTTCTTGTTGAGTATATTTAAATTGATCATCAACAGGTTTATCTTTGTTCTCATAGTAAAACTATTGACCAAGAAGTTATGAAAAATCTGCCTTGCAATATGTTTCATTATTTTCAATTATGCACATACTTTTATTCGCCATTATTTTAACCAATTTCTTTGCATGTCGAATTCCTTTAATTTCACTATTTAAACTTCTATAAGGTGTATTTTTCATATGAAATGCTTTAATTCCATCATTTTTAAGTACTTTTTTTTATATAAGAACGCCAAGTCTTGAATTTTCTTGTTAGATATCACTGTGACTGGTTCGGATTTTTTGCTATTGAACAGAGAATTTACCTTTTTTTGGATTCATGAAAAGTTTTCTTTCTTTCACTTCCAGGTTTTCTTTCAAAGCTTTGAGTAGTCTTGAACTTATTTATAATATCTATGACTGTAGATTTTGGGACATTTGTACATTTTGAAATCAAGCTATATGAAGTTGATGGGTTTTTGCAAAAAAAATTCATAACTTTTTTACCCACTTTAATTTATTTCCGAAACATTTTGCAAATCATTGATTTGTAAACAAAAGTTTATCTACACAATTAAAGATAAGGAAGTAATGTTTAACAAAAAAAATAAAAGAAATAAAAAGCATTTGTGATTTTAGAGAAATCTCAACTTAAAGTTGACCAGATATTTTCGTTTCCAGCCGATAAGGCATTTATTTCAAAAACAATGCTATTAATGCTATGAAATAAACAATGTTCTGAATGCAACAAATAATGCTTTAAATTATGCAAATTAATGCTTTAAATTATGCAAATTAATGCTTTAAATTATGCAACAAATAATGCTTTAAATTATGCAACAAATAATGCTTTAAATTATGCAACAAATAATGCTTTGAATGCTATGTAACAAACATTGCTTTGAATACTATGTAACATACTGCTCCAATTCTTAAAATTAAGTACAAAATTAAAATGTGAGTAAGCATTATGATCATACTTATTCAATAATTTATTTTCCATTGTTTGACTTTGTGAAAAAGTTATAGAAGGAATTGTACTTGTAGAAGAAATTGTACTTGTAGTTGTACATCAGACTTGTTTTGCTCTCTAGTTTTTAGTTCTAGTAATTTTGTTGCCTTGTTTTATGATTGTGTTTTAGATTTTTTTTTTTTTTAATTATATTTCTTTTTTTCAGTACTGGATTAATACTTCCAATGATCTAAAAAGTCAACCTGAATAATGGTGAATAGCTTGTAAAATGGATTTTGATATCGGCTCCATTGACACATAAAATACCTCATTAAAATGTTGCAACATCTCTGTAATAACTTCTTTTGCATTATTCAACAAAATGTTAAATTTGATACAATGGACACAACCGGCATTGCTAATGCTTTTCAAATAAAACTAATGAACTCAGTAATAACTGTAACTGTTAGAAAACTTGTAATTGCTAAATACTTATTGTAACTCATGATCAATATACCATTAATGCCAATATTGATCATGTCAACTCATGATCAATATACCAATTAATGTTTTTTGGAATCTGCACTTTTTAATATATATATAAAAAAGTTTATTTTAAAAACCATTTAACTTGTGATTTTATCTAGTATATTGTTTAATAAAAAGCACAAATTGAATATAAAAAAAAAGTCATGTCATTGTAGTCAAGTCATGTCATCAGACTTGTCATATCATCATCATACTTACACAAGCATTAGTATGATGCAGACATGATTGTTATACTTACAAATGATTTGTAATATGTAAGTGATTTGACATAATGCACTTATAGTTGAGTTTTTAAATTTATTTTACGCAACAATATTGTTAAACATAAAATTTAAATTAAACAACAAACATTAACATTAAATTTAAATTAAACAGCAAACAGTTAATAAAAAAAACTATATACGTTTAATGTATGTCTATATATGTTTCTATATATGTTAATGTATAAACACTTATGCAGACTCAAGGTCAAGAACACAACAAACCAAATACATACTTTGAGCAAAATGGTGGTTATCTCAATAATACAGCTAATAATGTTAACATAAGTTTTTACATTTAGACAAATGAAGTGAGATTTAAACTATAACAAAATTGTATTGAATTTTTTTTTAAAAACTTACAGATTTATTTAGTTGTGTAAAAGTTTACAAATGACATAAAATATGATTTGAAGCATCTGGATTTGAATGAAAGAGTTTAAAAGTATGCTTTAAGGAAAAATATTGTTAAACTATATAATGCATACAAAACATGTATATAAATCAACAACAAAGCTTTAAACATTGCACAGAACATCAATTAGTACATTATAATTTTTCACCAAGTCTTCACCAAAAATTCCTGTTTTTAACCACAATAAAATTGTGCGCAATTTTTAAAATTATTTACTAACTTAAATTATTTACTAACTAATAAAAAATGAAAGGAATAATTAAAACAACTAATTGCTTATAATTAGACTTAATTTAACGCTACTGCTGCCGCTGTTACCCATTCCTGCACCTTTGACACCAAATTTTTACCATAATTGGCCTTTTAATATTTCTCTTCATATTTTTGACCATGCAATGAGGTATTCTTAAAACTTTATAATCTTTTTTACATGAAAACTTAAAAATTTATGTTTCCATGTAAAAAAGATTTTATATTGTAACTTAAATTTTTTTTAAAATTAAGAAGGCAAGAGTCCTAATAAACAGGGATTATCTTTTTCCGGATATTTCTCGAATTCTGGATTTTTTTCAACTTTAAGTTTTTCAGGAACAGCTAAAACGTTTTCTATACATATACAAGTTTAGGAATATATTTTTGTAATATAATTGTTTTTTAAGCTTTTTTACTCATCACTCATACTAAAATAAAAAAAATTTGAAACAACTCAGCTAGAAGCAAAATTAAGAGGAAAATAAGGGAAAATATATTCTGATTTTTTTTTTTTTTTTCCTCAAACAATTTTCCAGATTTTCAAAAAAAAATCTGGATGATATATGGAATAAGCTGCTGATGTTTTGAAAAAAAATTAATAGAAACTTATAACAGAATAAAATAATAAGGTCCGTACCCATTTTATATATATATATATATATATATATATATATATATATATATATATATATATATATATATATATATATATATATATATATATATATATATATATATATATATATATATATATATATATATATATATATATATATATATATATATATGTATATATATATATTTATATATATATAAGTTTACAAAAGTTGTAAAGTATTGAAAGTTAATCGTAAACTCAAAACAAAGATTTTTATATTTTGCTTTAAAAATTATTTTTTTAAATTATTGAAATAAAGCAAAATTATTAAAATGGTAGGACTTCCCATAATCAGTAATATATTAATATTCAGTAATAATTATACGGGTCATGGTAAGTCCGTTATTTCACATATTTAAGTCATCTCATATTTTTTGAAACTTTTTATACCAATGGTTTTTAATTAACACATTTCAAGCGGTTATTCTAAATATTATTTAGGCTGGTACTGATATCCAATTCGTTGATAAATAGCGATTTGCACAATGTCTACTGAAACGTTAAAAGCTTTTTAAAGTTAAATATAATAGAAAATTTATTTTATAGCTTTAAAAAGTATAGTTTTTATATATGTATTTAATTATTTTTCTACCTCTTACTAAAAAATATTGAAGTAAAAATTATATAGAAATTGTTGGTGTGGAATAGATTTACCAAGACCCATATTTTATGGGTCATGACTGTTAGTACTAATTAGTCAATAAAAAAAATTAAAAAACCTAAATAAATTTAAAAATTGAAATAGAATTTACTTATTACAATATAATCAAATTAAAATAATTAACACCACAAAAGTTGAACCTGTAGAGCAAGAGAAGTAGATTGCATCCGATTTTTAACGCCATCTATCAACATCAACTCTTTCATTGATTGAGATGTATTTTCTTCAATCTAGTTAAATTAAAAATTATACATATTTTTATATATGGAATATTAAATATATATTTTTAAATATGGAAGCTTCAGCATTTGTGTGAGTGTTCATACATGTATATATAGGAGCCAACACAGTGTAAAATGATAAAAAATTGTTAAGTGATTTTCTACTAATTAATTATTGCTCTGTTCTTTTAAGAACATTGAAACTCTATTTTGTAGAATACATTTTTAAAATTGTTTATATATATATATATATATATATATATATATATATATATATATATATATATATATATATATATATATATATATATATACATATATATATATATATATATATATATACATATATATATACATATACATATACATATATATATACATATACATATATATATACATATACAGTGCTTCTAGAAAGTATTAGCGCACTCGTAATTTTTTTATTACAGACAACTTCAAATCAAATTAAATTGTAAAGTAATTTTAATTACGAACCAGTTTTTTTTTTTTTTGAAAAGTAAAACCAATTAAATTTAATTAGAATGTCAAATATTTATCAAACCATCTGTTTTTTTGATAATTTAATTAGAAGTTTAATGACTACTCTGAAAAATGTATGAAATTAGGCGTGCAAAAGTATTAGCGCACTCATTTAAAATGTATTTGTACAACTGCTTACTTCCTTTGAGACAAATTTTTTTGGTTAGTTTTTGTTAATTACTCTCTGCTGATTAATAACAGTCAATAAAAAATATAAGAAGCTTAAGTTGAAGTGATAGATATATCATTTGAAATACAGTTAGTTAAAACTTTAAAATTTGAACAACAAAAATATGGGTTTAAAGAGCATATTAATTGAAACAAAGTGGCAAGTTGTTGGCCTGCACATAAGTGGCCTCAGCAATCGAGAAATCAGACGTCAACTTAAAATCTGTTAAGCGTTAGAACAACGCTAAAAAACCATAATGAGTTTGGAGCAGTTGAAGACAAAAGTCGTTCTGGTCGTCCCAAAAAAATGTCAAAAAGGGACAAAAATAAAGCAATTATACTTGCTAGACGCAACCCGAACATGAGTATAGCTGAAATCGCCTCAGACTTGAATACAGCGATGGGTACACATCAAGTTAGCCGATCAACAATTAGCAAACTGATGAAGAAAAACAACTCAATTCATACCTTGCAACAAAGAAGCCACTACTAAACATCGAAGACTGTCTCAAGCAAAGAAAATGGTGCAAAGAGAGAGCTGCATGGACTGTAGAACAATGGAGAATAGTATTTTCTCAGACGAGTCAAATTTTGAACTTATTAATTGCAAAAAAAGAGTTGTCGTGAGGAGATACAAAAACAAAAAATATAATCCTCGTTTTATCATGTCAAGAGTTCAAGAAGGAGGAGGTTCAGTTGGCATTTTTTTGGCTGCATTGCTGGATCTAGCAATGGCCTGGCGCATCGATATAGAGAAATATTAGAAGATTATTTAAAGCCATCGATGGACATTTTCAAAGCTGACCTCCACCTGGCAATTTCAACAAGATAACGCTTCTTGCCACACAGCACGCTCAATTAAGCAATACATTAATGAAAAACGGTTGAACCTGATGCCTTGTTCTGCTCGCTCACCTGATTTGAATCCTATTGAGAATCTTTGGAGTTGGATGGACTGTAAATTACAAAAAAGCAGGCCCACTAACTTGGCACGACTCAAAACGCAAATGCAAGCGTTGTGGAATACCGTGCCACAAGAACTAATAAAAAAACTTAAAGATTCAATGCCGCATAGAGTCTTGGCATGCCTTAAAAACAAAGTGGTCATATAAAATATTAAACTTTCCTAAAATCTTTGAAAAACTGTAAGTGTGCTAATACTTTTGCACACTTTTTTACAATTGTTTTTATCACTCTTATTGTATTTTAATTAAATTCAAGATAATAATAAAAAAATACTTTTATATATTTTACAATTAGTAATTCTGCATTATCTTATGAATTAGTTAAAAAAAAAAATTATCAATCAGTCTTTTATTGTTTTCGAATAACAATCCTTTAAAGTTCTCTGAGGTAAAAAAAATATAAGTGCGCGTATACTTTCTGGAAGCACTGTATATATATATATATATTATATATATATATATATATATATATATATATATATATATATATATATATATATATATATATATATATATATATATATATATATATATATATATATATATATATAATGAAATGTTTGTTTATAAAAACTATGCACTTACAAGTCTAATATCATCTTTCAGGACTGCCATTTGGTTCTTTAAAACTGAAGCTTCAGTTTTTACATTTTCTACTTCCCGAAGAACTCTAATCAAAAATATAATGTAGAGTGTTCCAAAAAGCAACAATTTATTTAAATGCCTATACATACTTTATAAATATGTTCTACATATTTATATACTGTATTTTTAAAACTTTAAGTTAAAAACATTTTTAGAGGTTAGAGAAGAGAGGAAAAAAGTATTACTTTTTAAACACTTAATTTAATGTGCAATAAAAATATAAATTATTCACGCTAATTAATTAAAATAATAAACTTAGTCTTTTTAACTATAGATTTTTGAAATAAAAACGTAAATTATTCGAATTATGCTAATTAATTACAAATAACAAACTTAGTCTTTTTAACTATATATTTTTGAAATATAATGATGTATCAAAATTTACCGAGGAATGTTGTTCAATGCTACTCGACTTGTTTCTTCGAGTGACTTATTTACTTCCTGTCAATAAATCAAATACAAAAAATAAAAACCAAGTACTTAATAAAATTAAAGAAAATAAATTAAAAAATTTAAAAGAACTCTATTATTTTTTAAATTATGAATAAAAACTATATTTACTGCTGGGAAACAATACATTGTAATGATTGGCAAAATAGCTGGTAATCTATTCTGTTAATCAGTTTTATAAAATTTACAAGCATTAATTACAATATTTAAATCTTTAAGTTATTATGTTTCTATTACTAATATAGAATGAATATATAATAAAAATGAATACAAAACTTCTAAAATAAATGTTTATAAATATTTCTTTTGTTAAAATAAAAAGTTTATTTCTGTTTTAAAAATGATAAGAATTTTTTTTTGACATTTTGTTTCTAATTTTACTGCCTCTGAAAAAGTACAAAAAGTCAAAAACCAAACTGATATCTATTTTTGTTATACAATGAGTCTAATGTTACAGACTCTTAACACAACAGTGGTATACCATTCAAAGCTTTTTTTTTAAGCAAAAAAAATGCAAAAATTCAATCCCCACCATGCTACAACACCCAAGTCGTTTTTTTGCACAACAGCCTGGGTCATTGAGACTTACAAGAGAGAATTGTAACAACATAAAAAAAGTAAAAAAAAAACAACCTCCTTGACTGTACTAACTATATAAATAGAGGTTCTGCAAAAGCAAAAAAAAGAGGTTCCGCAAAAAAATGTTTTTACAAACATACAGAATATTTTTACTTAATTTAAAAAAAATTAAAGCACTCAATGTTTTTATTTTCATTTTTTTACTGTTTACATACATCGAATGACAAATAGAACATGTGAGGAGTGTTGCTTAATTAATTGAAAAATAAGTATACATATGAAGAGTGCTGCTACATTGACTAGTTTGGGTTTGGTTTGGGCAAACAGTCTATCAAATAATAAAAAAAAATACTTATTCAAGTTTTCAAACTTTTTTTGGTCTTTAAATTAATTTTTTATTTTTTTATTATATAAATTTATATATATATATATATATATATATATATATATATATATATATATATATATATATATATATATATATATAATATTTTTTACAAGTAGTTCTTTTGAAGAACTACTTGTAAAAAATGGTTTGATAACTATACACCACTAGAAATTACATGTATTGTTATGAAAATTTTCAAAGTTAAATTGCAGCTTGCCCTTAAATCAATGGAAGAGATTTTAAAAATTTTTACTAATCTTATTTCTATGTTGTTAAACAAATCAAAAAAAACTTTTTTGATTTGTTTAGCTCTAAATATGGGGTAAAAAAAATTCACCCATTTTTTTTAAACTTACCTCTCTAAAGCTTAGGATTCAATACAATCAAGGAGACTTATTTTTTATAATTATTTTTTCAACTGATGTTACAACATTCTCTCATTTCTTTTAAATTCAAAACACAAACCTTGAACAAGACTGTTGCACAAAGAAATTAGCAGAAATGTGGTGATCGAACACAGAAATTCTGAAGGAAGTGCTCTAGCACTACACCACTAATACTACCTAATAATACAACACCCAGCTATAATATAAATCCAGCTATAATATAAATCTAGTAATACAACAATGATCCAGCTAAAAAAAACCTAATAATACAACAATGATCCAGGTAAAAAAAACTTACTTTAATTTCTTGATAGTCCAAAAATAATTTGTCTAAGTTTCTTTAGAAAAATATCAGAAACTGAAAATAATAGTCAAGGGGCAAACTAAGCAATCACAAATTGCAATGGGCTGAAGCCATTTAGTGAACTTGAAAGTATATTATTTAAAAAATTGCAAATGCCAATTTTTATATTTCTGGATTAAGGTTTTTATGAAAAAAAAGTTTCATGTTTATGACAAGTTGATACAAAATAACCTGGTCGGACGAATAAATGATCAAAAGTAACTTTGATCTTTTTTTTGCCAGGTCGGACAAAGGCAATTTTAAAATTACTGCATAATATAATTTCTTTATTTCATAAAGAAATGCTTGTTTTTAAAGTAGTAATGCACTTTTTGTTTTTTTGCAAAACTTTTAGCAATTTGTTAAATTTAAGTTAATTTACCTCTTGATAGTCTCACCTGAATGCATAACTGAAGTTTCATTACAAGACTCGATACTTGGTTCTAAAATTTCAACAATTAGAAAAAAAATACAATTAAAAGCAATTTAACAAAAAAAGAACAACTTAACAAAAAAAATGTATAGTTATTTCTTTTTTAGTATAAAAACACAAGATTTTAATAATAAACACTGTACACATTCAAGTTTTCATTATAACTATTATGGCTTAGTTGAGTTACATCTGTTGTTCTTTAGTATAATTACAGCTGTTGTTCCTAAGTTAAATTACAGCTGTTGTTCCTTAGTTGAGCTACAGCTGCTGTTCCTTAGTTGAGTTACAGCTGTTGTTCCTTAGTTGAGTTACAGCTGTTGTTCCTTAGTTAAATTACAGCTGTTGTTCCTTAGTTGAATTACAGCTGTTGTTCCTTAGTTAAATTACAGCTTCTGTATCTTAGTTAAATTACAGCTGTTGTTTCTTAGTTATGGTAAGGTTAGGGTTTGGGTTAGGGGTTAGGTTATATGGCATATTAGTTATAGCAATGTAGCATAGTAGTAACATATTTTAAAACAAATATGCTATGTTAATAGCAACATAGTATATTTGCAATATAATATCTTATTTGTTTTTTGCAACACAAACTTTGATTAAAATTTAATAAATATCAATAAAAATACTCCATAAATACTTAATAAAGTATTATATTGTCTTATGTACAAAACAAATAAAAATTAAAAGGTAAAACCATCTCTTTAGCTTTTTTATCTTTGTGCATGTAGTTGAGTAGCAAGAATTTTTTGGGAAAAAAATGTTTAGTTAACCTTATATATTTTATTAAAAAACAAAATTTTCAAAAAATACTATACAAATTTTATGAATAAATAATACAAAAAATTAAAAGAAAACATTTATCTATTATATAACATTTTCTGCAAGCATTTATATACATTTATAAAATGTTTGACTATATTTGTATAGCCACAAAACCACATTTTCTCTCAAGGGTGCATAAGTTTCTGGGTAAAACTTTTTCTTGTGTTAAACTGTCTCTAAGATTTAGTGATTAACTAATTCAAAAAATTTTATTTGTTGTTAAAATATGAATTACTGTACCCCAAATGCATTTAAAATATGAATTACTGTACCCTAAATGCATTTAAAATATGAATTACCCTAAATGCATTTAAAACAAGTATTTAAAAAACTTACATCAGCAAGAGTACTTTTAATTTGCAGAGCGTTGTTTATCCATTCTTTCACATCAAAACTTTCATCCGAAAATTTTGAAAAATCCTAAATTACAATGTTTCCTTAATATGAGCAAACAATATGTATATGCTTTAAAATTTGGAGGTTTTTAAAAAAAAATAAATAAACAACAACATAAATAAACCACAACCATCTAAATTTCAATGACATTTCATTTTTTATTTGATTATGTCAATTTATTTATACATACCATTTTAGATCACAAGGCATAAAATTCTATTCAATTCTATTTTCATTTTAAATAAAACTAAAAAAATATTAAAAATAATAATATAAAAAATCATTAAAAAACTATTAGCATTAAAAAAAAAATTATTAGAATAAAAATGTACAAATAGAAAAATCATTTTGGTACAACATTTAAATTTAAATGTTGTCAAATGCCAATAATGTGAATAAAAAAAGTGTTGCTGTTCTTGTTTTTAACACACACAAAAAAAAAAGAATATAATCGATTCTTTTTTTAAAGATTTTAAAATGTAGAAAGCAAATAAGTTTAAATTCCTTTTTTAAAATTTTCAAAATGTAGATAGCAAATAAGTTTAAATTCCTTTTTTAAAATTTTCAAAATGTAGGTAGCAAATAAGTTTAAATTCCTTTTTTAAAATTTTCAAATTGCAGGAAGCAAATAAGTTTAAATTCCTTTTTTCATCCAAAAATATTCTACTTTTTAAGTTTCTAATAATAAAAATTTCTTTCTATTCTATAAGTTTCTATTAATTATAATATCTTTTTTAAGTTCAAAAGTTTCTATAAATATTTACAAATTTATACATGACACTACAATACATTATATATTTTACACATAATACAAAACACTTAAAAGATTCTGCCATGCTTTTATATAAATGCAGGCAGCATGTTTTCAAACAGTGCTTTTTTCTTTATTTTTTTCAAATAACTTTCAACTAGATTTTCAATCATGCCATCTTGTTTATAATAATCAATGTTACGTTGAATCTAAAAAAAAATGCTTATTTGAGTCTATTATTTTTTTTTTAGTAATAAAATGCCATACAAAATGTTTGCTTTAAAATGCTAAATATAGTATGACATGTAGAATTATATAACCTGTTTCACGCTTTGTTTTACAATGTCTTTCCATTGATCTTTTGTTAGTGCTCCATTTTTGTAGTCATATTTCAACAAAGCTTTTATTTTTTCTAAGTAAAACTTGTCAATAGGTGGACTCTAAAAAATATTAAAATTAATGAATTAACTAAATAATACTAAACAATATTTTAAACACAATGTAAACCTCATTTAACACTTTAGTTACTAACGTAATATTTTCTTAATTACCTTTTGGTTAACAAATTCTGCTGCTTGTTTCTTTTCTAAATTTACCACAGAACTGTTGTTGCCAATTGGAAAATTTTCTTCTAAATTAGACCTTGGATAAACAATAGCAATTGGAATGCCACAGTTATTCACTAACTTACCATGACCTTCAGATTTTAAATCGTATTTTATATTAGACAGATGATTAGTGAAATGTTCCATGTGAAATGTTCCATGTAAATTACTCTTTAAAGCGGAATCACCAAGCTCCACTACATTATTTAGATTACTAAATGTTTGTAAAGCATCTGTTTGTATTGGGAAAAAAAACTTTTTGTCCTTGTGATCAATTTTAGGGATAACAGAACAGCAAGACACATTTGACGAGCCAGACAAGTTAGATTTTAGGGTTTCAAACAAGTTTTTTTTTGAAGATCCAGATAAGTTTAAGCTTGGTGCATCAGAAAGATGTGCTTTTGGTGTGTCAGAAAGGTGTGGCTTTGATGTGTCAGAAAGATTTATTTTTTGTGTTTGAGATAAGCTTGCACATGGTTCTTTAGTTTCTTCTAAATAAAAAATAGATGGATCTCCAAACAACTCTTCAAATAAATTTTTTTTACTATCGCCATTGCAACATTCATTAACATCTTTTATAAACAAACTTTTTTTTTCTTTATCTTGCTGCATCTTCATTTTATATTCAGCAAAAGACACCTTTACAGGTTCTTTATTTGGGAAATTATCATTAGAAATTTTGTTTTTATGAATTTTATTAAAATCTTTTTCTAATTGGTTTTGCAAACACTCCTGAGAATCTTTAATGTCTAAACATTTATTATTTGAAGATGTTTTACTTCTCTGTATTAAAATTTTACTGTTATTTGACTGATTTAAATTGAGTGCATTAGCTTTTAAATCCTGGTTGTTTTTTTTACCCTTCATTAGTGTTAGACATCTTTCTTTTGTATCCTTTATTATTTCTTCACGACTTTTAGTACGAATTTCTTTGTATTTTCCTTGGTTATATAACTCAATTTTTTTTTCAAGAGTGAGAACTTGTTTCTTTTCAATTGGCTTTCTAAATTCATTGGGTGCATATGCTCCTGATACTCTTGTGTGGCTTCTATTTTGCATAGGTTGTGTGATGTTAACTGTTTGTGAGTTAATTTTCTGGGAATCACCAGAATGATGTGCTGAAGAGCTATCCAACTGGCAAACATCGGGCTGATGAGTTTGAGAATTAAATTCTATTTGTACTTTTTTGGGAATTTTAAAGCCTGATATTGAATGTAATGATGCCATAGATTTAAATTCTTTTTTATTACTTTTTTGTCTCATTTCAGCAAGTTGTTTTTTAATCTTTTTATCTAAAGCAATGTCGTTTTTAAACTTTAACAATTGTCCGCTCAAAATCTCTCTTTTTGTTTGAATTGAACAACATGAGATTTCTACATCTTGAGAACTATTGTTCTCAGAAGTTGTTTTTTTAGGACTTGACAGACATTTGTCAACAGATTTGTCATTTTCATTTTTTTCAATGTCCACATCATCATTGTCATCAATAAATCTTATCTTTTTTTTCCTTGCGGGCATGACATATGGAACATTTGTTATAAGTGCTTTTTCCATCTTTTTCTTTTCTTTTATAGAACCATCCCTTTCAACAACAACTTTATTTGGATCCAAGGTAATAAACCCATCTAAAATACTACCAACAACATCTTCTGTATTGGTGACATCATGTCTATGCAAGATTATTGAAGACATTTTTTATAATTATTATGATAAAATAAATATATCAAATATTGTAACTTTCATTATCACAATTTACTAATACTTTTATTGTATAATGCAAAATATTGAAAACTAAATTAAAAACTATTTTTTTACTTTACTGTAGGTTCATGCTCGTCATCAAAGACGTCGTGAAATTCATTAAGATCGTATGGATCTCCATATATTGAGATAACAGTGTCATTATCTTCACTTTTCTGCTTCAGTTTCTCATTGTTGGCTTTTTCTGTAATTTTATAAGACAACTCTTTGTTCATACGTTTTACTGCTCTTCTCATTTTTTTCCTTCTTTTCCGTTGCATACCTAAGACCAAAAAAGAAGATATAACAAAAATAAAATAACTATTATAATATAACAAATATACTATAATAAATCATTAACCAGGATTTGAAATTTGACGTGATAATAAACTAAAGAGTGAACAAAGTTATTTGTACATTTTAGTAAAACTATTCTGTCTGTAAAAATTTTTAGTAGCATATTATCCTAAGGCAGGGGTGTAAAGTCATGGTCACCCAGCAGAACAGGACGAATTGTTTTTGTAAAAAGCAATTTAAAAAATTAGAAAAATATACCAGTAAGTTGTACCAGTCAGTTAGCACCAGTCAGTATACTGTCAGTACCAGTCAGTAGCCCTGCAGGGCGACTAGACAGTTATTTCTTACAAAAAAGGGTTTTAATAATAAAACCATATTTGAACTATGAAGATTTTTTGTAATTATTTTAAAGAAACCTTTAAAAAGCATTTTAAATCACATTTTCTTTCTGTTCAAAATGCGAATGTATCATTTCTTTAAGATATTATAATTACATTTTAAATTTTGAATAATGTGAATGAGAACATTATTAATGCTTGACCTTTTGCTTGTCATTTTTAAAGTTAATTTTTTATTCAACAAAAGGTTAAACATCATTAATGATGCACATGGGATTTTTTTTTAAAAAAAGAAGTTAATTGTATTTTAAATTCAATTAAAAACAGTTCAACTAGTTTAAACTAGCTGAAGATTAAACAAAAACAGTAAAAATTTTTAACAAAACAGTTTCTAACTAATCATATTTTACTAATCATAAAAAACATGAAGTTACACCGCTGTAAGGTATTCTGAATTATATGACTAAATATAAAACAATAAAAAATAATGCAATAGAAAACATACTTTCTTTGTTTCGTGGCCTTCTTGGTCTAGTTGACCGAGATCGCTCTAATCTTCTATTCTGTCTTCTCTCATTTTTAACTTTTGCAACTGTGCGAACTCTGCTATCAGATGTTTCGTTAATAAAATCGCCTAAAATTTATTTAAAAACTAGTACTCTTCAAAAAACTTTTTAAAAATTTATTCACATTAAACATTATCTATCAGAAAAATCATTAAAAATCAATAAGAACCTAAGTTGTTAAGAAATAACTAATAAAATAATGTTTTTTGCAGGAAACAATTTTTAAAAGTGGTGTAAGCGTAGTACAAACATCAAACAAGTGGTGTAAGCGAGGTATAAATATCAAACAAGTGGTGTAAGCGAGGTATAAACATCAAACAAGGAATAAGTAGAATAATAAAATCTTTATTTTATATAATTATGTTTTTTTTATGTAATATATATGTAGTATATAAAATCTTAAAAAAAAAAATAGAAAAATAGAATACTTTAAAAACTCCCAATAAAAAAATTTAAGATAAGTAAAGTTTATTTGTCATGCATTTATAAAACTAATATATTAAGCTTTATAAGTCAGCAAACTAAAAGTCAGTAACTGAAAACTGCAAATTGAAATATTATGGGTATTAAGAATGCCAAAATAAATATAATATTAAAAATATTTAATAATGCAAAAGAAGCAAAGAAAAATTAAAATTTGCCAAATTTGTGTTTCATGCCATGTGGCATTATTGATCAATTAAGACAATACAGGAAAAAAAAAGTTACAAAACATGTTTTATTGAAAATATTTTTATAACGCAACAAACAAAAGTTTTTACTTTTGTTAAACAACAAACAAGAGTTTTAACTTTAGTAACACAACAAACAAGAGTTTTATTTTTGTACAAAAAGCATGTTGTTCTTTACCCTGTTTGTTGTTTAGGCAGGTTGTTCTTTACCCTGGCCTGTCAATACTTGGTGTTTGTTATTTGGAAAACCTAACTGTTTATAATCCTGTTTATATAAAATACAGATATTCACTTTGACCATATCTACAAAATGACAGAGCAATATGATGTACCATCATTGTGTCTTCACTTCAGTTTGGTAAAATATTTACCCTAATTTTACAATAACAAATGCACAACAAAAAATGCACTTGAACAAGTTTGAAACCTGAACTCTTAAAGATTCTTCAAAAACTTAAACAAGCTTACAGTTTTTGAATTTTATTTTCCAGTAATAAAAAAAAACTTAACACAAAATGCTAAAAAATAATGATGCACCTAAAAACTAATGATACACTTTTTCTTCTGGTCCAGAAGAAAAAATTGTACAAAAGAAAAAAATGGTACAGAAAACACTGAAAAAAGATTTACAAGGTTATAAACTTTTGTTATAACCTTGTAAATAGAAAGGAGTTAAAACCTAGTTGTGTTTCATTAAAGTTTAAAGAAGTTTAAACCCTAATAGTTACCCATAGTTACCCAGCTACTCGCATGTTTAAATTGACAAACAATTAAATCTGATTCTATATTAGTTTCTATAAAACTATAAAACCATTTCAAATAATAAATAGAAGCTCTTTCTATTTCATAAACTGACAATTTTCGGAATACTCTTAAAAAATATGACTTTTTATGCCATTGCTTTATCAACAACAAAACTTATGTAACAAATTTGATGTTCAATGAAACAATGACATAACTTGGTTTGACAAAATTATTAAAACGCCTAAAATTATAATTTGTTCAAAAGATTAAAAAAGGTATTTTTCTGTGTATGAAAAATTAAAAAAAAAAAAGTTTTTAAATGTAACCAGTTCTTAATTAGGAAACTAGTTTTTATATATACATGAAACAAACTATTCTTTATTAGAGCACCTTAATAAGTTATTAATGTGCTCTATTGATCTTATCCAGGAAGTTTTAACCAGGAAGTTCACCCTACCTTCTTTACCAATGTTACTTATGAGGCTAGAGCTGGCAACAAACCATGAACCTCTTGGTTCTAAGCCAGAACTCTAACCACTACGCTACGACTACTGTTCTTGAAAATAATTTATTTTTATCTAATAAATTTTTGATAATAATGTAATTGGTTTTACTTTATCTAATTTGTAAAATATTTTCATTTAGTTTTAATAGCAAGAATGTTAGGCAAAAAAACAAACAATAAAACGATAAAAACAAAACAACAATAAAAAACCAAAGCAAAATTATAAAGACAAAAATAATAAAATAATGACAAACAACAACCAAAACAAAAATATACTTGCACAATGATCTTCATATATTTTCATTAACAATTCTTCATCACCTATGAAGCCAGAGGGTTTTGATAAACTCACTTCAACAGTCTGATCTTTAGGTTGACAATTAGAACAGAACCATTCATCATATGGAACAGCCAATAATGGTGGAACTAAGCAATCCAGATGATATCTTTAAAAAATATAAATTAGAAAAAAAATTAAAGCAAAAAAGGAGTTCTAAGATCTAAATATAGAAATAGAATGTGAAGAACAAATATATCTAAAAAAAAAAAAGATAAACATTTTTCAATACAGATAAAGGCATCATAATATTTGGGACACCACCAAATAACTCCAAATTACAGGTAACAAAATACACATAGGCAAGCATATATCATATAACTGACATATTTATATTATGGCAATATGTTAATCAATACATTTCTGAAATAGTTAATTAACTTCATTTACTAATAGTACATGTATTATTCTTAAGTAAAAACTTTGCTGGAGGTACAAGTAAATGTTGATGGTGTAAATCAAAGATCTTGATGGTAATTTCTATTAAAAATACCATCAAGATCTTTTTCATAAAAAAATAACAACTAAAAAAAAGCATTAATTACTAACAAAAATCCAGCCAAAACACCAGGTATAGAAATAGTATATTATAATATGTATGGGAAAGATGACCTCAAAAACTAGATGTACAGCTGAAACTGTATTTTTATTATTTATTATATATATATATATATATATATATATATATATATATATATATATATATATATATATATATATATATATATATATATATATATATATATATTTATATATATATATATATATATATATATATATATATATATATATATATATATATATATATATTATATATATATATATATATATATATATATATATATATATATATATATATATACTATTTATACATATTTCAACTTAAAACTATGAAAACATTTACCATGTAGCATGTCCCATAAAAACGTTTTGAAAAGAAAAATTGTGATATAAGCAAAATTTGTCCCACAAAGACTTCTAAAATAAATTTTGGAAGTTTTAAGTATACGACTTTAAGAAAAAGATTTTAGAAAATTTCTTAAACAAGCTCAAAAACTCAAATTTATTTTTACAAACATAACACTCAATAAAGCTTATGCTGTCAGATGTAACAGCTTATACAAGCTGTCTGATTCAACAACCATTAAAACATTTTTAACATACTAGAAAATGGATAAAAAATTATTTTTTGCATAAAGGATGAAAAAATATTCATGCAACCACAAAAAATAAAAATAATTGTCGGTCCAGAAGAAAAAAAAAAAAAAAGTAAGTAAACTTGATATTTGAAAGAAAAAGAAAATGAGGCAGAAGAATAACCTTAATGTTTTCTACTAATGTAAATCAGACTCTTTAAACTTTAAATGGAAAAAGTCTGCACCAATAATTACTGCAAATTTAAAAATGCCTGAGACAACTGTGATACCATTCAGCGCATTAAGTCAACAAATGGTATCAATTCAGGAAAACACTCCTGAAGACCAAGAACTACTTTTCTAAAATATTAACATGATACACCATTTGGCTGTGAAAGACATACAGATTTCAAAAACTCTTACACACCTGCCTTCTACTGTGAACCAAGTACCATTTCAGTTCAAAAACACCTTGCTAAGGACTTTAATCTTGAATTGTATTATGCTACATTACACACTTGCCTTTCTTAAAATAATAGTGATCAACTAAAAATTTGAAAACACAAGGGTTATTAAAATGTAGCATGTGTCATGTTTTTAAAAAGTTGAGCAGTTTGCAACACAAAAAAAGTCAACCTCCATGAAATCATGCATTAAATCAGAAGATGCATTAAGTGCAGATTCTGATAAGCAACTCTTTAAGTGCACCTTCTGATAAGTACCTTCTGATAAGCACCTTCTTAACTGCACCTTCTGATTAGCAATATCTAGCAATTACGATTTGGGGGGCCATAAGCTGTGCTGGTTTATACCTTTTACAACAAAGTGAGACAATTTTACAAACTATAAGGTAACTTTGAAGAACAATGTGTTGTTGGCTTGAAATTGGGATTTTTGAAATTTTAATGGACAGCACGACAACTTACCATCACGATAACTTACCATCATGAGAAAATTATTAAAACATGGCTCTAAGAAAATAGGATTAATATTCTTGTTCTGTTGTTGGAAAAAGATTTAAACCGCATCAAAAACTGTTGAGTAAAATTAAAAGCAGAAGTTTCTAAACAGAACAGAACATCACTAGCAAATTTGAGTAAAGCCTTGAAAAAAACAATGTGCGTTTTTTTACTGTGAATTTTTTATTGCACCAATGGCATGAAAAATAGAGACTCAGAAAGTTTGAAGAGTACTAAAACATGTTTTATACCGTGCCATCTTTATTTTCTTGTATGTATGTAACTTTTTTGAATTAAATGTTTTCTAGTAATAAATTTGTAAAATAAATAGTAAAAAAATGGTTTATTTATATATCACAAACAATTCATAACTAAATATGCAATTTCTTAATATATATATATATATACATATGTTATATATATATATATTGCTTGCAGCCTTGTTGGCCTTGGTTGCTTGCAGCCTTGTTGGAAGTGAAGATGATGAAATATATATATATATATATATATATATATATATACATATATATATATATATATATATATATATATATATATATATATATATATATATATATATATATATATATATATATATATATATATATATATATATATATATATATATATATATATATATATATATATATATATATATGTATATGTATATGTATATGTATATGTATATGTATATGTATATGTATATATATATATATATATATATATATATATATATATATATATATTTCATCATCTTCACTTCCAACAAGGCTGCAAGCAACCACTAATTAGTGTTGAAAGTTACTCGAAGAGAAAAGATGAAGATTGTAAAGCAAGATAACGGTTGACAGACAACTTAAAAGATTGCAAATTATATGAATCAGGAAAGCAAGATAAAGGAAGCGAATCCCAAAGAACTGATTTTTTCGAGATAAAAAACTAGACGAATAAGAGTTTTTGGAGCACTTAGGAACAGTAACAGAAAAAGTATGAGACTTAATTGAATGACGAGTAACATGAGAATGAATTTTAGTAGATGGCACAAAAGACGCTAGCTCTTTAGAGCAGTGCCCATTATAGTATTTGTAGAAAAGAGAAAGAGAAGCAACATTACAACGATGTGACAGAGGTTGAAGGTTGGCTGCAATAGCAGGTCTAACTATGTTTACAATACGTTTTTGCACCTTGTCTAAAAGAGAAAGAGCATCATTAGAAGATCCGCCCCAGATATCGCAACAGTATTCCATACAAGGACGGATTTGAGATTTATAGAGATAGAGAGTAGAATCCAGATCAAGAAAGTGACGAGCTTGATAAAGAGAAGCGACTTTAGCAGATGCTAATTTTGCAACGGATTTGAAATAACGTTTCCAAGAAAGATCAGGAGTAAGAGATAATCATAGAAGATGAAGGGTAGGAGACTCATCGAGTACATTACCGTTCAAAAATATAGGAAGGTCTAAATTATTGCAACAACAATTGGCTGAAAAAAATTGAACTTTATCTGAATTAAAGCCCACCAGCTACTGTAAGCCCATGCTGTAGCAGAAGTGAGATCCTTTTTAAATTCAAATGCCCCCTACAAGCAATCAGAGGGAGTTGACTTCTTATTGTGACAAGAATAAATGGTAGTATCATCAGCGAACAATGCCAAGATCGACAATGTAAATTAAAAAAAGTATAGGGCCAGGGATTGAACCTTGAGGAAATACTGAGGTTACAGAATAACAAGAAGAGTGCTGTCCATCAAGGACAACTTTTATACTAGGATTGGAAAGGAAGGATTCAATAATCTTAAAGATGTTTCCAGATACACCGTAAGAAGAAAGCTTATGGATAAGACCAGCATGCCAAACTTTATCAAATACTTCGTTTACTTTAATTTCTTATGTAGTTATTAAATTTAAAACAATTTTTCAGTAACGCATATAATACAACTTACGCAAATAGCCGTGATCACGTTCTCTAACTTGAAAAACGTTTTCGTGGTCGTACAAGGATAAAAACCGCACGCCTTTTCTGGGAAGGCTTGCAATAGGTTTTATTAAAGTAAACATAAATAGAAAACAATAAAAATAGTTTAAACAATTTGCGTGTTGTTTTTATTTTTGTTTTTTCTTAGTGGTTATTATTATCGGCAAATTTGATTAAGTCAAAGCGAAAAAAAAAAAAAACGGTTTAGGCGTTAAAAAGGATGACTGTCCCATATTTTATGTGTTTTTTTGTTTAAAGAGGGAAGAATAAATATGTCTCGTCATCTGTTTGTAAAATATATTTGTATAACTATAATGTAACAAGTTTATATCAAGAGTTAAATTATACGATCGCATTTGCAAACTCTGGTAAAATATTAGGTCTTTAAAATTTTAGTTCATGCGAAGCTGTGTTTACAAGGAGCAAATTATTAAGAGTTTGCTAGCGAGAAAGTTACAAAAAACAAAACAAAAACAATAAACTTACGACTACAAAAGTAATAACACTTTCGTCAGTAACTGCATTATAAAAGTAATAAAACAATAATAGTGTTATTACATTTATAAAGCACTTATTACTTTTTAAGTTCATTCTTTGTTCAAACAACATCATTAATTCCAAACATTTATAAGTAAACCATCTAGAAAAAATAAAGCGGATATTCAAATATTATTAAAAATTTCAGGAACTTTCACATATTGCTTAAATAATGTTACTTTATAAAAAGTATAGCATTATGAAAAACGTTACGAAAAAACGCGCGTTAATTTTAAAATCAACCAATAAAAAATTTTTATTGGTTAATTTTAAAGTTAATGCACGTTTTTACGGTCCATTAGTAACGTTTTTCATAATGCTTAACTTTTAATACGATACGTTTTCATTAAGTTGTTAGTCACGTTTTTATAAGTTACTTTAGCTTTAATATTATTTGAACATCCATTTTATTCTTTTAGATATTTTTCTACTTCAATTAAAATTTGGGAATACTAATGCTGCTTGAACAAATAATGAATTTTAAAAGTTATAAGTGCGTTATAAAAGTAATAACACTATTATAGTGTTATTACTTTTGTAATGCAGTTAGTGACTAGAGTGTTGTTACTTTTGTAATCGCAAGTTTATTGTTTTATTTTTTATTTTTTCGCTAACAAATTTAAGTTGATTCTCCCCTTAAAAACAAGGAACACGGTTTTGTATAAACTAAAATTTTGATTACTAGATATTTTTCCAGATTTTGCGTTTTGCTTTTGCTTAATTCAACCCTTGTTGTTACATTAAAATTATACAAATAAATTTTACAAACACATTGCAATTTGTATTTTTGCTATCCTCATAAAAAAAATTAAGAAAAAGAAAATCATTCTTTTTATTGTAGACTTCAAACTGTTTTTTTTTTTTGCTTCGCCTTATTTAATTTTGTTGCTGAATGTAACTCTAAAGAAACAAAAATAAAAACAGTACACAAATTATATAAATTATTAATTTTTTTATTATTTTTTTTCAAGTATAATAATACTTTTCCAGTATTATTATACTTGCAAACTTGCAAACGGCCGTGTTCACGTTTTCTAAAATATTATAATCGCGTGTGGTAATACAAGACAAAAAAGCGCATGCCTTTCCTGGGAAGGCTTGCTATCGGTTATTACAAAAATCAGCTGTAAAACTAAAACAAATCAGCTGTAAAACTAGGAGATCGAAATCCATATTGATGATCAGAAAGTAAGTTATTAAATTCAAGATAAGAGATTAGTGTTTGTTAATCAAAGATTCAAAAACCTTGCTTATGATAGGTAGAAGACCAATGGGACGGTAGTTAGACGAATCAGATCACTCTCCAGAATTTTTAAAAATAGGGATAACAGATGTTGCTTTCCAGCAGGCTGGAAAACAAGTCTCTGATAAGCACTTGTTGAATAGTTTTGAAAGGATAGACGACAGTTCCGGAGAACACTTCTGCAAGACTATAACAGGTATGTTGTCTGGGCCACAAGCTGTAGAAGAGTCTAAGCAGGCAATCACTTTAGATACAGTAACTAGAGTGATACGGATGTCGAGCAATGGATCAACCTGTTTGACGGCTATATCAGGTAGAAAGCAACTAGTGGAATCAAGAGATGATATTGATGAAAAGTTCTTAGCAAACAATTCAGCTTTGTCTTTAGGTGAGATGACAAAGTCTGAACCATACAAAAGAGGTAGAATTACAGACTTGCCGTTATTATTGATACTATTAAAGATTCTCCAGAAGTCACGAGAGCCTATTTTTGAGATGAAATACAAGATTTCATGATCTAAGAATAGCGGGCTTTGGCGTTAGATAAAACCTTTTTATATATTTGTATATATATGTATATATACTACACTATACTATATATATATATATATATATATATATATATATATATATATATATATATATATATATATATATATATATATATATATATATATATATATATATATATATATATATATATATATATATATATCAACCCTTAGAATTAGGAAAAATGAGGTTGGCAAATTATTGTCGACCTCAATCTTTCTGAGGTTGGCATCAGGTCGGCAAAAATTATTTGATACAAAGGTCTGACCATAAAACATAGAAGCGAGGTTGGCAATTTTTTGCTGACCTCAAACACTTTCAGGTAGGTAGTTAGTTTGGCATTGCCGAATGCTGACCCTTATTCCAAGGGTTGATATATAATATATTATATATATATATATATTAATAACTTAAAAACTTACCCATTATCGCACTCATCGCACAACAGTAAACTGTCTTCTCTTTCACAAGAGCCACAAACCTGATGAAAAAAATATATACAAAATTATTATAAAAACAAAGTAGAATAAATTAATAAAAAAATAAGTTAAATATGAAATAGTATGATATTGACAGTGAAGCACTTTAAAATCAATACAATTTAAAAAAAAAATACAACTCCTCTATTTACCTCACAATAAGTTGGTGGATCTTCAAACTCATCATCTTTACTTTCTTTATCTTCAATATAAATCTTTAAAAAATAATATAATTAGTATAACTAGTATAATTATAAATAATTTGAATAATTAAATTCAGCAACTCGTACAAAACCTATGCTTACAATGTGTTTCTTAACAAAAATAATTTGAAGATTTAGCCCCTATATGGCAATTATGATCCGTAAGAACGTATAAAAAGAATTATACAATTGTGTAACACCAGTTTTAAAAAACTTGAAATATAGTGCTCTTCTTCTTGGGGAGGTGAAAATGAAAAAAGTGGATAAAAAGGTTGTAGGGAACAGAGCTATTTATAAAGTTTTGAAAAAATGAACAAAAAAGTTTAAAAGATTTGAGTTCTAAAGTTTAAAAAGGAATAGGATTGACAAAACAAAAAAGAAAATTCATATAAGAGCTTGCTAATTAATTTTAAGAACACAGAAGAAAAAAGGGATAATTCTTTGAAAACAAAAAATGAGATTTTTTATGAAAATGAAAAAAGGAAAACAAAAATATTTTTTACATATTTGTGTTCTGAATAAGTGCTTGGAGTGAGAGAAAAAAAAAATGTAATGGGATCATTTTCAGTAATATCAAAATGCCATCAATATTATAATCAATATTATATTAATGAGATAAAACTAGCAGTATGGTTTAAACTTTTAAAAAATAGCATTATGGCTCATACCTCACTTCAAGCATTGTTCTGAAATATACATAACAAATATTTAATTTGCTTTTGTTTATACCACTAGTAAAGATTTTAGAAGTCTCTAGTTTGTTAACTTTAAATTTGAAGTACAAAGTTTACTTGAAAAATATAAGCTCCACCAAAACCTTTTTGCAAATGTTTTTCACATGTTTTTTTTTGCATTTGTTTTTTGTAGTGACTGATAAAAAATCTTATAATAATAGTATAATTAAAATAGTAATTAAAATATATTTAGAAAAAAATAGCTGCAAAAAATAGCTATCAACACTGAGAAGATGGAACAGTCATACTTAAAACAGTCTTATAGAAAAGATAGAAAAGGGGTAAGAAGCAGGTCAACATTGTTCACTGTTCTAGGTTGAATACATTATTCATCATTGATCATCCTAGGCTAGAAACACTTCTCTCCTCATTTTATGAGCCAACCTACTAGACAGAGAAGGGGTAAGAAGCAGCCTAAAATTGTTCATTGTTCTAGGCTGTTACCATTGTTCATTGTCATCGTTCTAGGCTGGAAAAACTTCTCTTTTCATTTTATAAGCCAGCCAACATTGTTAGAAGTTAAACTGCGTCATTAGCATATTTTAAAGTACCGTAATTAAATTTAAAACTGCGTTAAAAATCATTTTAACTATTATTACAAAAATTACTTATGAAATTTTATTTAAAAAAAAATTATGAAAAAAATTAATTATAAAAATTTATTAAAAAATTAATTATGAAAAGTTATTTAAAAAATTATATTTCCTTATAACTCAATTCTTAAAACAATCTGATACTTAACATTTTATTTGTTTATCAAATTATTTCTTTATTTTAATTTTTATGTATTTTATGTAGTATTTTAAATAATCAGTTACTAATTAGATATTCGTAAACATAACTTACATGCATAAATAAATTACATCAAACTTTGCATGTTATTGAATTAATAAGATACTTTTATATACATCAAGCCTTCCCAGGAAACGTGTGCGGCACACGCCTTGTGCGTCTATGGTTAAAGTAATTTTAGACAACTTGACCACATTTTTATATAGTAAGTGTATTAAGAATTTGCGGCAAAATAAAGCTATAAGAAACTAGAGAGAATAAAATAGCAATACTCAAAGAAAGGAAAAGAAGACTATACAAATTAAAAAATCTAAATAAAAGAAAAGAAAAAAAATTGAATATTAAAAAAAAAAATGTCAAAAAATAATATACCTTAATATTTTACTGTTTTTGTTTTCTTTTTTTTTGGGCATTTGTTTTTTTACTACCAAAATTGATACAAGTTGAGGAAAAAAGCAGATAAGAATATAATGAAAATAAAAACATTTTTTTTCGTGACTTATTTTAAATTAGAATATTGAGGAAATACTTTATTATTTGTGCTAGAAACATCGACAATTTTTAAATTTGTTTTTCAAATGTGTTTGCTAAACTTTACTGTTTTTATCAATGCACAGGAAAGCGAGAAATTGCTATTTATTTGTAAAAAAAAATTTTTTATTAACAAGTTTTAATGTTAAAAAATAAAAAGTCATAAATACATATATTTAAATATAAAATATTTGGTTGTTTTCACTACCCCCATTAAAATAGTTTGCACTTTTGTTGGATTATCCAAATTGTGAATTTAAAACCCATAGTTTATTTCCTTATTATATATATTAACTATTGTTGTTGACGATGCTCCAAAAACTTGTGGGCTAGTGCATTTTTAATTTACTGGAGCCTGTTTAAAACGTTTTTTAAGTTTTTAAAAACATTTTTCAAACAGAGCAATCGTTATGTTCATTATCTCTAGTAATTCATAATAACCCTGGAAATTGGGCAATATAAAGGAAACATTTTCAGACATGCATCAAATCCGATAAATACATTTACAAAAGAAACCATGCTGTTCTTTTATTTAATTTATTCTGTATTTATAACATATTATTTTATTATTTATTACAAAATTTGTTAATCAAATAATATATTATACAAATAAATAGCAATTTATTTTCTTATTTTCCTGTTATGTAAGTATCGAGAAAAAATTTCAAATATAGCTAAAACATTTTTAAAAGTAAAAAGATATAAAAACAAATTAACCTTAGAAAAAAAATTAACAAAAGTTTTAATAGTTTTAGATTTTATAGCAAATGAGTTTCTTAATATACGGACCGATAAAAATCGTGAATAAATTGCATATCAAAACTTTCACTTGTTGATAAATTTTTATAAAACATAATATGTTTTTTTTTCCGCATCTTGTATCAAATTCGGTTGCTAAAAATAACAACACACAAAAAAAAAAGAATACAAAAGTTGTAAAATAATTTTATAAAAAAAACTCTTTAAATTTTCTTGTTTTAATTATTAAATTCTCTAGTTTAATTAAAACTTGATATTTCATTACAATTTTGTTTCCTTTTTTTAGAATTGTTTTTTTTTCTCAGTAGATAAGTTTAGCTTTTTGTTGCGAATTATTGAAACGCTTTATAAGTTAAAAAATGCAAACTATCGTGGTCAGCGTGTTTAAAAAAATCAAATGTGAACTAACAAGGCGTGCAATCGCACACGCTCCCGGAGAATGCTTTATACATTTAAGAAAATAATTTTTTTAAACAAAAAAATTTCTCCCCTTTTTTTTTTTAATTATTTGCTTTTTGCATTTAATCTATGATGGTGATTTTAGGTAATGAATTAATTAGCTGATAATAAAAAAATTTAGTAATTATTGCAAAACATTCAATACATTCCTTTGCAATACATTCCTTTGAAACTAATTTAAAATTCAACATTTTACTATTTTTCATTACTACAAAACAAAATTTAAATTTTTATTTAATTTAACTTATTTAATTTAAAGTTGTTTTTAAAGTTCTTATTTTGCAAAAAAAAATTTTTGTAAATTCATCACAGTTGTGGTTAAACATAGATAGAATTTTATATAATTATATAAACACGGACAATACAAAGATAATTTAAATAAAGGATAATTTAAATATTCCAAAATAGAAAAGTTTTCGCCTAATATAAAACTGCTGAACGCAAATCTCCATTTTGTATGTAAAATGCAAACTGCATAATGCTTCTTAACAAGACCTGATGTGGGACACATGATTCCTTATGTCATCTATAGGGTAGGGATTATGTGGGATTATAGGGATCATTAGGACTTAATTTAACTACTTTTTGTGAGCTAATCACAAAATCTACTATTTAAATGGTACACCAAATAAACCAAATTCTAAGTGTATTGAAAGTATTTGTTTTTTGCAAATTGATTTTGCAAAAAAAAAAAAATTGAGCTCAAAAATAAAAAAGGGTGATAAAGTGTCCCCAGTTTCCCTTATATTTAACTTTAATCAAAAAAATTCATACTAAAAAAAACAACTCATAACTTTTTAGCCAATCATTCAAATTTTATGAAACATATTTTTATTTAGTTTACAAAAGTAAAATAGGTAATTTCAAGAGTGTTATAGTTTAAACCTTATATAAGTATTATTAATATTATCTTATTCGTGTTAACTTAAATAATAAAAAACAAAAAACCTCTTCAACAAGTGGTCCATCTTTGATCTTATAAACTAGTACAAAATTGAACTTTGTTCTGTCAACTGGGCAATTGTTAATTTTCTAAAAAAAAATTCATCTGTCACAGATACATATACATACACGTACACAAACACACACAAATATAAATTTTATAATTTGGTCACACCTTAGCCCATTCTTGCAAACACTCCAAACAAAAGACGTGATTGCATGTTTTTGGAACTCCAACCATCTGATTAGTAAACTCACTCAAACAGATTGGACATAAGCCATCACTTTCTTCTAAATCATCACTGTTGTTATCATCTGTATCACTCCCGCCTGTGGTAGGTTTACATATATAATTATCACTCAAAATAAATTTAATTTATTTTTTAAGATATAAATATTGTGAGCCATTTACCAGAAGAATCTTCTTCATCTGAGTAAACAAGCAATTTTCTTTTCCGAGAAGACTTTGTTGCAAATAGATCTTCTTCATTACTTTCTTCTTCTGATTCGTTATACATACTTCATATTCTGTTAGAATGGAAAAGTAAATACTAATTTGCTTACATTAGTAAAAACAAATTTTTTTGCAAGTGTATGAAAGAACCTAATAAACAAACAGTAATTAAACAAACAATAAACACATTATCTAATATAATAAAGAAAAATAATTGCAAATATTTTTTTCCAAAAGATGTTAAGAGAAATTTCAAAAAAAATGATAATACAAAAACCTATTAAACACACTTTTGCACTAATCCATTATATGCCTTCACAATTCTTTAGTAAAGAAGTTTAGCAAGAAACAATTTTGAAGACATATGCAAATACAGTTCAAAGATTTAACAAGCAACAGTCCAAAGATTTACCAATTACTTACCAATTATTTACCAATAATGCACAAAAACCTTGCACATTTTTATTTGTAAAAACTGAAAAATAGAGACATTTATAAATCTGCAAGCCAAATCTGTGAAGTAAATTATCTTTAAAAAACAATATATATACCAACAAAAAATATGAAAATCACTTACTGTAATTTTTTTACAAACAAAAAATGATAAAATTTAAAAATGAGTGATTATTATTATTTTGAAATCTTAAATAGCTTTCTAATAAATAAATTTGATTTTTAGTTATAAAAGTTTCAAACGTGTTTCAATAAGCCATTAAAATTTTTGGTAGTAATCGCTATTCCGCTAGTGTGTCAGCGACTTTATCAAATGAAAATGGTATCAAATAGTGTTGTGCTGTTAATTGTATGCACACTAAATAAGCTAACATAAAATTTACAATATAAAATATCTGTGATTTAGTAAAATAAATAATGTAACTAAATACAATGCCATTTTTAATATTTTATTTTATAAACCTAATAACTGTCTAAATTTTGCTTAAACCATTTTTCTTTTAGGAATATTTATACTTCTATTTTACATGGCGTAGGAGATTATAATTTTCTAAAAAATTATAATCTCCTACGCCATTGCAATTTTAATTTTATTTGAAACTGGTTTCGTTATATACATCAACTAATTTTGTAAACAATTTTGGCTTTCCTTATTTGCCATTAATAGTCCAATTTCCTGTGAACTCGTGATAAAATTTTATCAAATAACTTTTATCAAAAAAAAAAAATTAATGGAGCAAAAGTACTTCATTTGCAAGAAGATAAAAAAAGTTTTTTTAAATATTGTTTTATATGATTAAGCCTTCTCAGGAGATGTGTGCGGTCAAACGCCTTATATAGATCAAGCCTTCTCAGGAGATGCATGCAGTCAAACGCCTTATTTGACCATGCATGCAATATTTTTTTTTACATCTCGGCAAAAGTTTTTTGCATATATTGATAATTATCAATGCATTTATTTTGCATATATTGATAATTATCACGCAAGTTATAACTTGCGTGTTTTAAAAATGCACTGAAAAAACCAAACTAATTTAAAGAGAAAGTTAAAAATAAACCATTACTGAAAAAAGAAACCAACTTAACAAATGATAAAATAAATAAAGGACAAACCAGAGAAAATAAAGCATAAAACTAATATATTTTTTAATTTAGAAGCCTCTCAATTAATAATTCAAACTTATTTAATTTAAAGGCATTTCAATTAATAGTCTAGAGCTAATAATTTTTCCTATATCAACACAATGATGTAGCGCATAGGTTGATTATTTGTGTCGTTTATAAAGGGTGACCGTAATATCGATTGAGGGTCCAAATCCTACTAACAGATAATTTTTTTCTATTGTTTTATTTGCTTTGAAGAGAAATTTTAAAATAATTAAGTTTCGAAGTAATTAGGCTAAAATAACTTTGAAATTTCTATTTTTTTTTTTTTTTTTTTTGTATAAAAACACTTGTAAATTAAAATAAAAACATGTTTTAAATTTATGCTTTTATTTTCTGGTTTAATTTTTATTTATTTTATTATTTGTTAAGATTTTTATTTTTTTAATTTAGTTTTGTATATATTTTTTTTCAAGTTTTAATTTTTTTCCAGCTTATAGTTTATTTACATACTAACTTAAAACATGCAAGCCAAGTTATCAAAACAAAATAATATATGCGTGGTCATATAAGGCAACCGCATGCGACTCCTGAGAAAGTTTTATATATATATATATATATATATATATATATATATATATATATATATATATACATATATTATATATATATATATATATATATATATATATATATATATATATACATATAAATACATATATATATATATACAAATATACATATATATATACACATACATATATATAAATATATATATATATATATATATAAATACATATATATATAAATATACATATATATATATATATACACATACATATATATATATAAATATATATATATATATATATATATATATATATATATATATATATATATATATATATATATATATATATATATATACATATATATATATATATATAATATATATATTAGGGTGTCCCAAAAAACAACATTTTTGAAAGTAATCTGCTCTCACCCCCTAAATGTGTTCTATCTAATGCAAAAACACTAGGTTTAAATTTTTTTTGAATAAAAAATATTTTAAGGGGTCCCTCAAGACCCTCAAATATTTAATGAGTCCCTATAATTTTCGAAAAAAAGATCTTCAACAATATGTCAACCTGGTACTCAAATGAAGCGAAATTATATAAAAATTTTTAAAATAATATTCATTTCGAAAAAAAATTGTTATTTTTGGTTTTATTACATAAAAAATTGCGTTTTTTTAAGAAAAAATGAAAAAAAATTTATTTCTAATGTTTTTTTATGATAATTTGATAAATAAGTTAAAAATATTTCGAAATGAATATTATTTTTGAAATATCTATATAATTTCGCTTTATTTGAGTACCAGTTTGACATATTTTTGAAAAACTTTTTTTTCGAAAATATTAGGGACCATTCGAGGGTTTTGAGGGACCCCTTAAAATATTTTTTATTCAAAAAAAATTTAAACCTAGTGTTTTTGTATTAGAACACATTTAGGGGGTGAGAGCAGATTATTTTCAAAAATGTTGTTTTTTGGGACACCCTAACATACATATATATATATATATATATATATATATATATATATATATATATATATATATATATATATATATATATATATATATATATATATATATATATATATATATATATATATATATATATATATACACATTGTTCCTATCCACAATTAAAACTTTTTTCATAAGGTATTTATTTTCCACCAACCCATCATTTGATGATGTATCATATGAAGACTCAGTAGCCAAAATATTTTCTAATTAAATTAATATTTAGAACTTGCTCAACACGTTATAGAGTTCAAAATACACAATTTTTTCATTTTTATATCAATTGCCTGACCAAATACATATTTTATTTTTCTGTTCAATGCATCTTATAATAAAAAATATTTGCGCATTGTCCTTACTAACTCACTTAATATTAATGTTCAATGCATTTTTTAATAAAAAATACTCATATTATTTTCAGATCCATTACACTGAGTCAGGAACAGAACACCGATGCAATGACTGCATAAGCACACATTCAGCAAGTTTTATTTGGTTAGTTGGTGCAACAAATAAAACTTTTTAAAGTTCTAAACTTTCGTCATGTGGCTATATCTTGAAGGTTTTGTTCTACTATCACATTGATGAGAACATGAGTTTGAAGTAAAGTATTGACAAATCTGTTTCACTTTTGTTGCCAATATGGGAGATGGCCCGAATTCCAACAAAAGCCAGAAATCACATGGCTGAACATGTCCGCAAACTGCAATCTTGTCACAGTGTCGCAAGAAGAATCAATCGGAGTTCAACAACAAATCTGTCTAATCAGGAGAAATTCTGCGAAAGACTAAATGATTTTTTTGATATTGCCAGGATGCCATGTCAACCATAAAGATTGAAGAGGACTGATTATTTCTATTTGCTCAGTGCGAGAAAGGTTGCAGAGGTAGAATGGGTGGTGTAGACAAAGCACTTGCACTGAAAGAAGAACAAACAATAAAACAGAAAACAGCAGCTGAAAAGTATTCATCAAAAGTAAATTCCACAGGAACAACAACAATATTTGTCATAGACTTCAGATGCTGAACTTGAAGCTGGTCCATTCATTCCAAAAGCTCTTAAGACACAGACAGTGAGAGGCACTGTGGATATTGTGACTCCTCAAGTAGCTGCTGCTCTTGATAGAACAAATATTTCTGACAGAAAAGCTGCCCATATATTTTCTGCAATGGCATCTATACAGGACTTCTAAAGCAAGGTGTGGAAAAAGTCATTATTAGTGCCAGCACTATAAGACAAGCCCGCATGAAGCATCGCAAGCTTTTCAGCTTGGAAGTCAAGGAAAAATATGATCCGGCGGTTCCACTAATTTTGCATTGGGACGGTAAGATAATGAATGACCTTACTAGTTCAGAACAAGGTAAAGTGGATCATCTTCCAATTCTAGTTTCTGGGCAGGATGTGGTAAAATTGTTAACTGCCCCTAAACTATAAGATAGCACAAGCAATCACACTAACTATTGAGCTGAATAAATTTCAACCTTGTGATGACTACTGTGAATTGCTTGAACTTTTGATTATTTTCTTGGGTGACACACCTGAACGTGGAATACGGTTTTGGTACCCTGGTGCTATTGACAGGGCTTGTTGGATGGCGAAAGCCATTTATTCTATAAAGATGTGGCTGTTTTGCAAGCAATATAAGCCACTACACTGCAAGCAATATAAGCCACTACACCCAGGTGTCAACTGTCGAAAGTCTCGAGGTCTTTCCTATGGTCAAAAAATATAGAATTACCTGCAAGAAGTAAGTCTGTTCATCACTGAAGTATATCTGAAATATTGGTTTGAAAGTCCAGCTGCAAACTGTGCTCCACAACAAGACCTTGCACTGCTGTGTGCTTCATCTGAATACCCAAACACTGAAATCGCCAAAGCTGCCACTAAAGCCTTTAAGCACACCTCTGGTATCTCTCTGAAACTCTAGTTGCTTTTTTTTTCACAATTCTTGGCATATCCCAAGAATTCTAATAGGTCGATCCCAGTGAGTGGGAATCTCAACCAGAGTATCAAGAAAGCAAACGTCTTGTACAATCTCTCAAAGTTGTCAATGACTTGGCTGAACATGGGGTTGTGTTGATTCAAGATTTCAACTCAAGTTTGACATGCAATGAAGAACAGAAGCAATATCTACTTCAAGTTGTCAAGGACCATAGAAAAAAATTTTCAGCACCAACTAAGTCCTAAGCAATTAATGCCAAGTTACAGTTGATGGTTCATAAACAATAGGACTATTACTATCAAATGACTATTGAATATTAAATTTAAATTTTGATTTTGACTATG